ATGTAAATTATTATTATTTTTAATGCTATTATCAATAAAAGAGTATAGTTTTCTTTTTTTATATAAAAAGAGATATATATATATATGAGTTTAGAAATAGAAATTGGTTTTTAGAAGCCGATGCGGTTGAGGTTCGAGGACGACGGACGACTAATCGACATACCTCCGTAGTCACGTCAGACTTGGACTCTATTGGGGGAGAATTTGCGGAGTATATTAGTAGGCCGCATGACGAAAATACCAGGCAGGGCGACTTAATAGTAATGGCAAAGATATTGTATATATGAGTTGTACCAGACGGCATTGACCGTTGTCCGGTCATTCGCACTTTAATACACAAATGTGTATATTTCATCTCTTTGAAAAGGTTTCAACTTATATTTACGTATATACGAAAAATTAGAAATTGCTAGTTCAGGTATAACACCCTGACACAAAGATTTTCGAATACCTGTGAAACACAAAATGGACGCGCGCGCTCCTTTTGCCTTTTTCTACAAATAGTCCTTCTACTTCTACTTCTTCTTCTTCTATAAGGTCTGAAACTGGTCAAACTGAACCTTTCTAGATTCCTGCATTCGTTTAATAAAAGAAAATTCCCTCTTGACATTGAGATGACGAAGATGTTCAACAAGTTATTAGGTTCTGTAATAAGGAAACTTTTTTTAAATTTTGGTCCAAAGATCAAATCCAAAAGAATGGTAAAATTTATATAGGGTACACGAAAGTTTTAGTATATAAACTCTAAAATTTATTGCATTTGTAAAGATTAAAAATGCTTTCACAGAAAATTAAAAGGCATTAAAATAAGCGTTGCAGCTTATTTTAATGCCTTTTAATTTTCTGTGTTTCTATTATATAACCTATATCAAATTTTGACGCCATACATTGAAAAAAAAGGATTTAATTCAAAAATACTCGATTACTTGACTATTATCAAATAAATATTTATTTGTATCAAAATAATTATTATTTAAATCAATTAAATGTTATTTGTTTTAAATACAAAAATTATTGGTTCAAATACAATTTATTTCATTCAAATAAAAATTATTTGATTCAAGTAAATATTTATTTGATAATACTCAAGTAATCTAGTAATTGAATTATATAAATTTTTTTTTTCAGTGTTAGAAATAGATAATTTTTACGATTGTCGCGACCATACCACTTTGTATCATTGTTCATTGATGTATCGTGAACGTTGAGCAAGGTGGAGCACACTGAGTACACTGAAAAAAAATTTATTTGATTCAAATACTCGATTACTTGAGTATTATCAAATAAATATTTATTTGAACCAAATAATTTTTATTTGAATTAAATAAATTGTATTTGAACCAATAATTTCTGTATTTGAAACAAATATCATTTAATTGACTCAAATATTAATTATTTGATACAAATAAATGTTTATTTGATAATAATCAAGTAATCGAGTATTTGAACCAAATAAATTTTTTTTTCAGTGTAGTTAGATGGAATACCTCAAATAAAAGCATTGCTGACGGTCGTTGATTTAAAAAAAAAAATTTTCTATATTTCCCACAATATTTCTAAAAATTTAACAAGAATATTCCTATTATTATTTAAATATAAAAAAAGGAAAAAAACGAATTTGAATATGAGAAAAATCCACTTGTAAATTTCTCTAAAATTAATACAATAATAATTAATAAAATAATTAATAAAATAATTAATAATTGTAATAATAATTATAGTTAATAAAATAATTATTAATTATAAATAATAATAATAATAATAATTATAATTAATAAAATAATTATTAACTATTAATAATTATTAGCATACTGTAAAATATAAAAACTTTAAAAAATCGTATAGCATGTTTACGAGAACAAACAATAATTTTTTCAATAGGGCAATTAAATGAAGTGTAACTTGTGGTTTTATTATTGATGCACTTTTTAAATTCTAATTTAATTGAATCCCTGAAACTTCATTTCGTCTGAAGACATCGAAAAAAAAGAAAGCCTGACCCTGAAACCGGTTTCTCCGAGTCTAAAAGAGAATAATCGTTATGTCAGGTATAATATAATAATATATATATATACATATATAGAAGAAAATTAAAAAAAAAAAAAAAACTTTATATAAAAATACTCACGGAGAGATTATAACAAAAAAATATAGAGGAAATTGAAGATCAATAACAAAAATCGTATATATTTTAGAATAAAGATAGTAAAACAAAAACCATTAAAAATGAAAATAATTACTTTGCACTTTCGAGAACATTAAAAAAAAAAAAAAAGAAGACTGAGATACTTTCACCATAAAGCGAGTTTCCAAACTTATTTCCTTTCTTGTCATTCGAAATTCATCAGTGGCAATAAGGAAATTATATATGAAAGTCGATTTGCGGATAAGTTCACATACCACAAACATATTTTCAACTTCTAAGTTTTTTTTTCTTTTTATCAAAAATAACTTGAGATTACGAAAAAAAAATGATAAAAGATTTATATATATATGATTCATATCAAATATAAGAAAAAATATATAAATTTTGGAATTTTACTCTGAAAAAATTGTCTCCAAAAAATAATTCTCCAAATATTTTAATCCGATGAAAATAAATTTAAAAAAAAAAAATGGAATAATTTAAGAATTTATCGAGAACAAAAAAAAAAGAAAACGATTCAAATATGTAATTCAAAAGATTAAGAATTTGAAGGATTTTGAATTATTACTTTTACTAAATTGTACAGGGATTTTTTTTAAATATTTTTATTTCCTTTATTACTATTAAAGTAAATTAACATTTTTAATAACTAATTAATAATTGGAAAATAAAAATAAATTTTTTATTTTTCAATTTTATATTATTCAAAATTTGGAGTTTCTTTTTTAATAGTCCCGTTATTAGAATCGTTAAATTATTCACTTTCTTTAGAGATTTCTTAACAAAGTCGAATTAATTTTATTATATAGATTTTACTATATGTCTTTTTTCTCTGAATTTTTTTTTTTTTTTAAAGATTGTGAAAGTGTTTGGATTATAAATTTTTGCCATTATATCTGTTTTCTATTTTTTGAAATAAAGTTTACCCAAAAAAAGAACGATAATGAAAAATATGAAAATGAAGAGAAAAAAAAATAAAACTAAAGGGTCAGATAACCCGATCAGAAACTCGGGTGGCAACCGTCGGACCGTTATATCGAAATGATTACAGGGACGAACCCAGCGATAATTCTCTCATTATCACTTGTGAAATGTATAAATAAATTTTTTTCAATTTCTAAGAGAAAAAAAATTTTTTTTTTTTGAATATTTTAATAGAAATTTACATAAATATTAAAATTTAAAGAAAAAAAAACAAAAAACACTTTCAAATTGTTCAAATAAAAAAAAATTGTGTCAAAAAATAATATATATATAAATTGAATGAAAATATAATATATTTAAATGGATATCCATTTAAATTTATAAATAATTGACTAATAAAGCCATTTTAATATTATTAACGTCTGTGATTTTTCAATAAATTAATCGTTAATTTTTTAATTCGATACAATAAAGTTCCATATTAATATGAAAGCTAAAGAGATAAAACTTAAAGAAAAAAAAAAATTATGTTGATTTATTCATTCGGCGATGATAAATTTTATGAAACACGATTTCCAAATTTAATTTTTGATAAAAACAAAAATTTTATATATATATTTAAGTAAAATAATTATTCTTTTTACCTATTCGAATTAATATACATCCGCGATATTTTCTGAGATCATCAAATAAAACATCTACAACTTTTGTTTACTTTCAATTTCAACCATCAGGATAGAGAAACAAAAAAAAAAAGTTCTAATCATGGTCAAAGTTACTAGTCATTTTCCTGGATGAATGATGATAGATGACTGCATAAATAAAAGAATAAGGAAACATAAAATTCGTTGCAGAAAGAAAAAAAAAATTTGCCTTTTTATTCATTTTAGAAAAATAATTAAAAATTACTAAAAATGATTTGAAAATTAAAAAAAAATTATTTAGAATCATAAAATAATAAATCTATTATTGAACTGGGAAAGGAAAATAAAATAAATAGTTAATTAAGTAATTAAAGGAAGATTAGAAAGATTTTTTTTTTTTTTTTTTGTTATAGAAATAATAAAATATTTAAAACACTATTGCGGATAATCTGAATTTTAAAAGAAATTACAAGTGGATTATTTTGACATTATTTCAAATTTTAATTTAATTTTTTTTTTTTAATCGATTTTCAATAGTTCCCATAAGTGTTTTCTGTTCAAAAAAAAAATTTCCCAATTCTTGGCATAAAAATGACAAAACGAACCTTCACCATTGACATCGAGAGGTCAGCGCATCCGCTTTCGTCACAATTCTAACCACGCCCCGGTGACCCTATCGAACTCTTTGGCTAACTTAATTATCATAACGATTTATAAATGTGCAAATATTCTATACGTGTATCCTATTTTTCCCCTTATTTTGAATTTAAAATATTTTTTATATTACAACATTCTTGGAAAAAATTTATAAAACACCGTTATATTAATATTAATTAAAAAAATAAAAATTATAGAAAAAAATTTTAATTTTCTATATTTTACAATAAATAGAAAAATTTTTTTTTACAATTCAAAAAAGTTTACATACTATTATAATTATACAATTAAAATTAATTTTTATTAAGTATTTACAATAATTTTAATTCATTAATAATTAGCTAATATCATTAATTAACACAATTGTTAATTAAATTTTTTTTTATAATTAATAACTTAAAATATTAAAGATATAATGTTAATTTAATTATTTAATTATGCGCATTAAAAAATTATTTAATGAAAATTTTCATTAAAAAAATTTTAGAATAAATAATAATAATTATTATTATAAAATATAAATGTTTTAAATATGAAAAAAATCATAAACAGTATATATTTGATAAATTATATTATTTTTTATTCCTATTGAGAAATTAATTTTAAATTATTATTATTATTATTAAAGAAATTAAAATCTGAATAGTGCTGCCACTCTACAGAAAAATTGATAATTAAATAAGAAAAATCTTCCTTACCGATAAATTAATTATTAAATATTGAATCATTTTCTATTTGTTCTTTAAAATTGTTAAAAATTCATTTAAATCTATTTAAAATGAAATTATTATTTTTTATGAACAAAATTGTCAATAAAAATTAAAATTAAAATCAAAATTATTGAATAACACAAAATTGTCGTGGAAGATTAATTAACGACACTATAGTAGATGTGGTTTCAAAATTTAAATTACTGTTTATGATTTTTCTATTTTGAGGAGAATCTATTTTTATTTCATTTTGTTTACTATTGGAATTTATATATTTTACGTTCAATTTTCTTCTTTTGGGTATATCATTTAATTCGTCGTGTCGAAGTGAAAAACTGCACATTTTTAATCTTTTATCATTATCTAAGGATAATGCCGATTTCGCTATTTCCAGAGATTTTTGTAATGACTCTGAATCAGAATGCTGCAATAATCATTTAATTTTGAAAAATAAAATGGTACTTTCAGTCGGTAATTAATTATCTAAAACGATATACTTTATGCGCAGGAATTTTTTTTTTCATTTTTCCACTTACCTTTGCCCTCTTTGGTTGATTGCCATCATCTTTATTGAAAGGTTTGATTTTTGCGGACTTCATCCACGAACGATGTACTTCACCTTCTTCGATAAAAGTCACGTGATACCTAAGCTGAAAAATAATAAAATATTATAATTTTCTTAGGAGGGAAATTTTTTCTTTTAATTTTAATTAAAAGAAAAATGCTGAAAATTGAAATTTATTTAATTTTAATAAATATTTGTTAAAATATTAATTTTTTCAAACTGGTGCGTCATAAAAATTAAATTTATGTAATATTTAATTTACCGGAATATCGGAAGTGTTGCCAAGTTCATAGAAAGTGTTTTTCACTGGACAATTGTCAATTATTGCAGGCCACCATGGATAACCGGTCAATTTAGCCCAAACAATATTTCCAGGAACGTATTTGCTCTCTACCAAATTATTTTCCGTTTTTTCCTCCGGTATATCACAGGATGCAAAATTTTCATCTGCAAATAGAAATAATTTTTTAATATTAATACAAAACTTTAAAATTTAAAAGAAAATATTCTTTTTACTTTTAAAACATTTCAGTAACTATTAAAATTAAAACGCGAAATATTTCAAAAAAAAAAAATTTCTTTACCAAAATTTTCTGAACAGAACCATTTTTCAGGTACAGAGAGCGGATCATTGTATTCTTTCACAAATCTCCATTTTTTACAATTTTCTTCACAACATTGAATCCATAATCCAACTGTTTCATTTGATCGAGATCTTTTTTTTCGCTGCGTCATATTTTGTATCACAAATTCTGCAATGCATTTAATTTAAAACAAAATTAATTTTTAAATTAATAGATACAAAAACAAAATCTACACGTGTTTAAAATTTCAAATGCACTAAAAAAAATATATTTTTATTTATTAATTAATTGCACATTTATTTCTCTCAGCATTATAATAATATAAGAATTTTGAAAAAATTAAATCGAAGAAAATCAGAGAAATAATTTCACGTAGTTTCAAACACTTGTGCAAGTGGCGAAACTAACCTCAAATTTATCAACGTGTGAATTTTGTTCTTTTAACCTTAATTAGATTCTCAAATTTAGATATTAATTTATCAATGAGTTTAAAAAAATTAAAACAACAATCTTACCTTAATTAGAAGTTTAAATACGTTCTACTGCAACAGAAGATTATAATTTAAAATTAATGATCGAACACGAGGCTTCCACCGCAGAAATCCGTTACGAAGAAGTAGAACATGAAGTTGTTGTCTTTACCGACCGATAACAATAAACCTTGGGAAAAGGCGGGAAATTTTTAAAATTTAGTTTTAAAACATTTTCTGAAATATAATTAAATTTTTTTTCAACATTTTTTTTCAAATAATAATTAAAAAATAGAGTTTAAAAGTAAAAATTAAGTATTTAGAAAAAAAATGTGCTTTATTACAATTAAATTGTTACAATTAAATTGTCACAAAAGTTTTTCAATTAAAATTGACTCTAAAAAAACATTCTTATTACAGAGTCAATTTAACAAAAAGTTTTCTATTTAATTTTCATTTTTAGATAAGTAATTTAACGTACGTAAATAAATATATTTTTTCTATTAGTAATAGACAACAAAGTACAAATTATTATCTTTTTGTACAAATATATGTTCTATGAGAAAAAAAAAAAACGAAATTTCAAACTCAGAAAAATAAAAAGAAATTTGTTACGCGATACGATGAATATCATAAGCGAAATAAGAATTGAATTATTGAAAATAATTATAAATATTGAATTAAATTAATATTCAGTATAAATATTTCTTTTAAAAAAAAGCAAAAGAATTATAATTGAATGAATGTATAAAATTATTTGTTTCACAAATAATTATCGAAGATATAAAAATTTTTTTAAACGAGATTTTGATTCAGGCGTTGGAGATGGTCGCTTTATGCGAACTTTATCTAATTCTTCTATCGCTTTATCTAAATATTCATCAAAATTCTCAATTCGTTTCATTACAATTTTCGGTGATTTATTTCCATCTTTAATTGATGTCACTTCACTATCACTTGAATCGGAATTGTGTTCATTATCTGATTTTAAAAAATAAAACCATTTTCTCTCTTCCTCTTCATCACTGTCAGTTAATGATTCCTGATCGTAATTGCAACGTTTTTTTAAATCATCAAGATCAAAATCGTCCAATTTTTTAGGATCAAAATAATCATATTTTTCAATAAGCTCATCAAGTAAACGATTTATTTCTCTTCCCTCTGCACCACCGCCAAATGGTGATGAACATCGACTATTATTTTCACAGTCATCAATATCCAATGATGATCTTTTTTTTGATTGTACAAATTCTTTTTCAATATTGAAATCAATTGCCGATAATGGCGATAAATCGAAACTAGCAATCGATAAAAGGGATCTATTGTCATCATCATCATCGGAAGATGATTTAAATGATAATTGAGAATTCAATTCTAATAGCGGTGATTTTTTTAATAATTTTTTATTGGAATTGAATTTTAATGGGGATTTTTTTGTTTTTTTAATAGTTCCCGCTGTAGACGGTGTTTTTGGATGTGGTTTTAAAAATTGAAAATCGGCAGAAAGTGATTGCGATGGTAAACCAACGTCTGATACATAAGCTGAATCTGAATTTTTATGTGAATCAATTTTTGTCTCTGATTTCGAATTTGATGATTTTGGTTCACTATTATTATTTGTATTTGATTTGACATACATTTTACCTGATGGAATATTAATTGATTTTGTGGGTTGTTTTCTTTTTTTCGATGATTTTAATACTCCAATTCGTGACAATGTTTTTTTTCGAGCTGATGTTGTTTTCCAATTTTTATTAATTATTTCTCCTTTATATTGTGATACGAAACTATATTTTTCCAATCTTTCAGTTATTGACAATGGTAATGATGATTTTGCCAATGTCAAGTATTTTTTCACGTCTTCTGTATAATTTTTCTTATGAAAAATAAGCTGAAATTTAGAATAAAATTAAAAAAAAAAATATATATAAATTAAAAAATATAAAATTAAATATTTTTATATATAAGAGAATTTTTTTTTTTATTAGAAAAAAATTATTGTACCTTTGGTTTTTTGATCGGTTGTATATCATCGCTCAATTGCAAAGGTTTTATTCGCGATGCAGCGAGCCAGGAACGTGAGACATCTTTTTCAAAAAAGGTAACATGATATCTGACCTAAAAAAAAGATACATTTTATTAAAAAAATATTTTCGATCAATAAAGAAAAATTTTAAATTTTCTATTTACCGGAATCGAGGATGAACCTTTGAGTTCGTAATATTTTAATGTATCCGGACAATCATCTACCATTGCTGGCCACCATGGATAACCATTGATTTTTCCCCAAACAATACTTCCTGCATTAAATTTATTATCTATTAGATCATTTTTGCATTTATCAAAATTTGAATCCTGAGATGTGTCACACGATGAGAATTTTTTATCTAAAATTTGCAAAAAAAAAAATCATTTATTTTTGTTTTCTTCTTTTTTTTCAATATTTTGAGAAAATATTATACATACCAGAATTCATGAAGCAAAACCATTTTTTCGGAACTTCAATTGGATCGTGATATTCTTCCACAAATCTCCATTTTTTACATTTTTTATTGCAACATTCTATCCAAAGACCAATGTCCCTTCGCTTTTGAAGCCAAATGACTTTTTCCCTCTCGTTTAATTGTTTTTCAGGCTGAGAAAGTGGCAAACCCTTTGAATCAAAATCTAGAAAAAATATTTATAAAAAGTTTACTGTATATTTGAGAAAATTTTTTTTATTGCAAGATGAAATTCATATACTTAACGTAGATGTTTAAATTGCGGACAATTGAAAATTTAATAATAATTGATTAGAAAATAAAAGCGAGATGAATTACGAAAAAATAAACAGAGAATTAGATTTTCATTTAATTTAAATTATTAAAAAATCAATAAAATGAAATACACCAGTAGAAATTATTTATTTAGTAGAAACAAATATATTAAAGGAAAGGTTTCTTACAGTGATTATTTACGTAGGATAAATGAAAAAAAAAAGGAAAACAGGATTTTTGATAATTGAATAGGATAACATTTATATTCTTAGGTGAGTAAAATTTCCTCGGCAACTGGAATTGGAATCTTCTCGGCTCAGGGAATTTGGGATATTAGGATTGGATCTTGTGGATGATGATGTAATAGAAAATAATTCATTACCACTCGTGCTTGGTGTTTCTAATTGAACATTTTCCTTATCAACAATTTTCTTTTGCATTGATTTCTTTTTTAATTCTTGCTTTGAATTTACAATTCTTCGTCGTAAATTATATGAATGTTCAATTTGCGTTTCTTCATCAGCATCATCATTGTCCAATTCATTTTGTTCAATGTGTTTTGTAAAGTCATTAATCTCATCGGTGGATTTAGTTTTAGAAATTTTTAACGATTTCTCCACAATTGCCGCTGATTCCTTAATTTTTTTATCAATTGAATCATTTTCAATAACATCCGGATCATTGTATAACAATTTTTTTGGTCTAATATCCAATTTATTGAGTTGTTTACTTTTATTTAATTTTGTCGGTGCCATTGGAAGTGATGCTGGATTCATTGTTGGCGGAGTATTCATTCGAATCTGTATATTGTAAAATAGGAAAAAAATGTATAATTTTTGTCTTTTTCAAAATCATAACCTCAATTATTAAAAACAAAAAAAAAATTACAAATATTTTTACTTACCAGTTTTTTATGCAATCGGGGAAAAATAGAAAAAATTCTTCTCGCGATGGAATTAAACTCGCGAAACTTTAAAAAATACAATGATAATTAAATTTGAATAAACGCGGACGCGAAAATATTGAGAAAAAAAAACCCGTAAGAAAAAAAATGTCACGATATTTGTGATATTTGCGTCTATGTAAAAAAAACAATAGAAAGAAAAACATTTGAATTACTATATAAATAATTAGATGTATATATATATATGTATTTACCTGTATTTGGTGGCCATGAGGTTCTCCACAACCATTCACAAACTTTGGTTAATTCAACCTTCAAATGTTATTAAGCTTTTTACTTATCAAAACAAAAGGATAATTTTCGCCGGCGTCCATTAGATATTTTAGCTCTTTCAATAATAATAAAGTAATATATGCAACCCGCTTTTCAAAATAAGGGTTCACATAAATTTCTCTAGGTTCTCTAGGAGTTTCCGGTGAAAAAATAATTTTTCAAAATTATCTCATAAACAAAAACTACAATAAATACTAACATAACCTTAATAATTTCAATCTATTACAATAAAATTTACATTATTTTTAATAGAATTTTAAATGAAAATAAAATAAAAAATTGTATTTTTTTTTCAAATTTTCGCAGATCTCTTGAAGTAAGGCGCGGTTCCGAAGTTTGACGGAAAGTGACGACATGCGTTCGGCTTCCGCAAGCAAATATGGAGAATGGAGTCGGAATTGAGGAAGCACAGCAGCAATTCGCCATCGTTAATGCTAAAGAAAAGGGTGTTCTAACTTGAATTTGTGAAAAGTGTTGTCATTAGTGGTTCTTTTTGTAATTAACGCACTTAAAAGATACAGCATAAGGCAAGGAAAGACGTCGTGGATCTAAATTGAGGTGAGTTTGTTCACATAGATTAGTAATGTGATGGGGAAAAAAAAGAAATTTGGTGAAAAAGATTAGTTTTGTTCACCATCCGTTTTTCCAAATGCACATAAACTAAAGTGAAGCGCATGCGTATTTGCGGGAATGATAAAATTTACGCGCTATCTTCGATCACATTTAGTTTTGCTCTTTAAAAAAGGCCAATATTTTTTTATCGATTCACGTGGAATCTATGATAATGACCCATTTTTTATTTACATATTTTATTTTTTTTACATGCAATTGCAAATTATTTTTACATTTTTTATGCTGTTAATAAAGAATTCAATTTTAATTTCTACGTTGTCAGACGTGTTTATAATTTTGGGGTTAGAATTTTATAAAATTTAATTTTGTTTATATTTAATTGTTTAAAGAAAAATAGTTTTATAGTTTAATTTTATAAAATTGTTACTTTATTTTTTTAAATTGTTTATATTGTAAAATTTTCATTTATTTTTGTTATAAATCAATAATTTATTGTTGTTTTTTTTTTCCAGATATTTGAAAATGTCTTCGGCACAAGTGGATCGTGCAACAAAATTGAATAATTCTAAAAAGGAAAATGAAAAATCACGTAAACCTTTTAATCCAACGCATAAAAAATATAAACACGAGGACAATCGTCATTTTAAATTTGGTCGTAAACGTTTGCAAACATTTCCTGGTAATGGAAAATTTTTTCCACCCTATAAACGTCGTAAGAAGGAGGATGCAATTATTCCACCAACAAAATTTCTCTTAGGCGGTAATATTTGTGATCCGCTTAATTTAAATAGTATGCAAGATGAGGAAATAAATCGTGCAATGAATGCTGTTACACCAAAATCAAGTCCACTTCCCATTCCAAAACATAGAAAAGAAGCAATTGAAGTGATAATACCACCGAATATATGCGATCCACTTAATCTAAGTAATTGTAATGATAATGAAGAATATGAAAAGCAATTAATTTCACCGACAAAAAAGAATTCAAAAAAAAGAAATCGAAAAAAGAAACGAGCCTTATCGTTTTCAGGGAAAAATGAATCAAATGAAACAATGGAAATTGAACAAGTAATTGTTGTGGAAAATAAAGAGGTTTCAATATTGGAAAATATTGTCGAAAAAGTTGAAGAGAAAATACCTGTTGAAAATAATAGTTCACCATCGAGAGAAATTGTGAAAGAACCAAAAGTTGAGAGTCCATTGAAGGATAAGGCGAAATTACGATTAAAAGTATTAGAAGATTCGAAAGATAAGAGATTGAGGAAACTTGATGTTAAAGATAAAATTGTTAGTCCCGTTATTCCACAACCTGGAGCTTGGAAACCAAGATTAACTCACAGGCCAAGTCAAGATAAAAAGAAAAAACCGCAACAAATGCCGAAATTTAAACCCAAGGACGCGAAATTTCAATATGGAAATTATAACAGGTTTATATTTTTACATTTTTTTTCACAAAAGGTTAAATAAAACAAAAAAAATTGCAAATCGATTTGGTTAATTTAATAAATTATTATGTTACAGGTATTATGGATATCGGAATTTACATTTGGAAGTTGATCCAAGATTAAAGGCTTTTATTCAACGTAAAGAAATGTTTTTCGATAAAGATATTCTCGATATTGGCTGTAATATTGGTCACATTACATTGTCAGTTGGACGTGATTTATCGCCACGTAGTGTTACAGGAATCGATATTGATAAAGATTTAATTACAATTGCTAGAAAAAATATCAAACATTATGTTAATTTTATTCAATCGCCAGCGAGTACGGATGATGGGGCAAATAATAAAGAAACGGATCCAAATTTTTTTCCAATGTCAATGCCAATTAGTTATGGTCCAGTTGATATTCCCGGATTTATCAAGGACAAAAGTCACAAGGGCTTCCCCTATAATGTCTCCTTCGTTCAGGTAATTTTTTTAATTAACAATTAGTTGATTCAAATTTTAAAAAGAAAATTTCTGTATTTTTTAGAAACAATATTTTAGAATAAAAAATTAAAAATTTTTTTAATAAAATTTTTTTGATATTGCAGTCTATTTTCAGATTTCAAATTAATTTTTTGATTATTTTCAGGGTAATTATGTATTGGAAGACGACTCGCTGCTTTCATTGGAACAACCACAATTTGATTTGATTCTCTGTCTCTCGACAACAAAATGGATTCATTTGAATTTCGGTGACAATGGATTGAAACAAAGTTTTAAACGTATGTTCGCCCAATTAAGGCCTGGCGGTGTTTTAATTTTGGAAGCACAAAATTGGAATAGTTATGGAAAAAAGAAAGGCCGTACGGTGAGTATTTTTTACATTTCGTTTTCTTTTAATAAACAAATTAAATTAATTTAAATAAAGCAGCAATTTTAGAATTTAGAATAAATAAAAAATAAATTAAATATCTAATAATTACAATAAAATTAACTTATTTTTTTTAAAACAGGAGCGAATTTTTCGAAATTATCAAACCATCAGATTCTTTCCAAATCAATTTACGCAGTATTTGCTCTCAGCCGAAGTTGGATTCTGTAAATGTGAAGTAATATCAATGCCTTCACATTCGTCAAAAGGCTTTCAACGGCCTTTACATCTATTTACAAAAATGGATTTATTCGAAAGTCCACCAGTTAGAACGACATGTATATCAAATGATTGTCAAAATGATGATTCTGCTGCTGGAAATTTTGAACAACAAGTATTTGACGTCGATCTCTTTCCATCTGATACACCTGTACCAGGTAGTAGTCAACGTAGTAATGGTTCAATGAGCACTTATGAGCAATTGGAAAATATTTATTGTCCCACTGGAACGCCACTTTATTTACAAGGAACGCCAGCGCATTTAAATGATGGCACATCAGCTTCTGACAATAATAAACATTATTATGCTGAAATTGAAATTGAACGTTCACCAATTCCAGCGAGTCCAGAAGATAATGATAAGGTGAGTGATAAACTTCAAGATAGTAATTCTAATTTAGATGATGAGAGTGCAGAAAAAAATGAAGATGAAACAAAAAATTTTCAATCGACATACAATAATACGTGAATTGAAATAATTTCTCAAAATAATGAGAATGTTAATAAATATAAAAAAACAGTCTGTGTTTACATATTAACTTGCTTAAGTTTTTTTTTTTCGCGTAGAAAATAATAGAGATTAATTTTGCTACAGAGTTTTCTTAAGGAAATTTGTTCCTTGTTGATTCGTTTCTTTTTTCTTTCGATTGAAATTGAAACTAATGATAGTATTTTTTCTTATTAAAATTTTTTAACTATTTTATGAAAATTTCTAAAATAGTGAATTTTTATTATAACGAATTTTACGTTTGTTAATACTAAAAAATTCTTTATATTTTTTATTTTCTTTCTCTCGAAAACAATTTTGTTTTCTTTTTTTCTCGTAAAATATAAAAAATGCTCTATTTTTCAAATTTAAAGTAAAATTTTCATTAATAAAAAGAAACAATTAACAAATGTGAAAAATTTCTTTTTTTTTCCATAAATTTTGTTGGACTAGTCAAAAATAAATTAAAAAAAAAATTTTTAATAACAAAAATCATGCAAGCATCGAAACTTGCTGCACAAGAAAAAAATGCTTTGATACGTACAAATTGTAAAAGTCATATTGCAAAATTAATTGAAAAAAAATTAAATATATACTAGCTGCGAAAAATAATTTTTATTATAATAATGAAAATGAAAGTTTGTACATGTATTTCTAGGCTCTTTGCTAGAATCAAAATTGTGTTGAAAAAAGCTCGACCCTGTTTCAATGAATTTTATTTTTTTTTTGAGAGAGATTTTTTGTTTTTCAAAATATTTTAATCTCTTTGAGTGAGGTATTTTTATAAGGAAAAGCTTTTTTCACACTCAGAGATAAACCGATGATGCCGGAAAATCAATAATTTGCATTTTGTTTTTGTTTTCTTTTTTTTTTAATAATAGTTTGTTGATTCGTTATTTTTAACTTTTTGGTTACTTGTCAATTTTTTCGAATAAATTTTATTAAATTAAATTAATAAATGAAGACGAGTTACAAATATGAATTTAAAATAATTGAAAGTTTATTACAGTGACAAACAATTTTTAAAATAATATTTTGATTGAATGAAGAAAAAAAATTTGTGAAAAATAAGATTTTTTTACAATTCAATTTTAACGGGTTTGTCAAAAAATTTTTCTTTTTTTTTAATCTCTTTGGAATTGCAAATGATGCGATGCTTATGAGATTGACAAAAAAAAACTTCGGTTTGGTCCAGTTTATAAGACGCAAGCGCAGCGTTTCAGTGAGAAAAAAAAAACTTTCCCAGTTATACTTGTTAATACGTATAATTGTTGTATTTTACGTATGATGAGTTAACCGAGTGAGAACTGACTCGTGTTTGTGTGCGAATATTGTACATATGTGTCAGTGTTAATTTTGCAAATTTACTGAAAAATTTGTAACAGAAAATTCGATTTATGTTCTACGCGAATCGTTCGATTCGAAGACTGACTTCTGGCTTTATTATATTACAAAAAAAAAAAAAAAAAACTAGAAAAAAACAGTAAATGAAAGAAATTAAAAATAATATAAAGGGACTGATAAACAATTTTCTTTTTAAATTAAAAATAATGAAATGCAAATATTTTTTTTTGCATTATAATAATAATAATAGGTATTTTAATTAAAGTCTTATTATTATGATAAAAAATAATGAAGTCAAAGATATTTCTTTTGCTTCATCGAAACAGAGTTTGCAAAAATATAAAATACGTTTTATATTTTGTATTGTTTTCTAATTAAATAGTGTAATTAGTTTTTAATTTGTACAAAAAAATAAGTATTTTGAAAATTCTGCGAAAAAATGCCGGGTCTTTATTTTTTTATCAGTCTCTTTTATTCATCAAAAAAAAAAAAAAAGAAAAAAAAGTTTACTTTGGGAGAGAAAAAGTAAAAATATGCAAGTTTTTATTTGAGTAGATTTTTCATGGCGCATCAGAGATATAGAGTGAGAGAGAGAGCTTATTTCAAAATTTTCGAAATGAAATAACATAATCAAATGAAACATTCCTAAAGAAAAAAAAAAGTAGAATTTTAGATAACAAAAACATGTAAAATATATTCAATAGTTTAAAATTGAAATATTTAAAAATTCAAGAAACTTTTTTTCTATTTTTAATTGAATTTAGTATTAAATCAAGTTTTTATTAAAATAAAAAAAAAATATTAAAAAATAACTAATGAAAAATGGAAAAATTTCAAGTGTCAAGCATTCCAATTAATAGTTTACAAGTTAATATTTGGAATTTATTTTATAATAATAATTATTTATTTTTAAAAAATATTTTCAAATTAAATCAAATATTCTCTTGGAAATTGTTTAGAAGTTGAAAAAATGAAAAAAGATCCAAAAATTCCTACCAAAGTATTGCGTACAATGTATAAGTAATTTAAATATATCATTTTCTTTTGAATTGTGACCTTTAAAATATAATTAAATAATTAATGGTAAAAAAAGTATTTTGTTATATTGCCGTTAAAATCAAAAAAAAATATTTCTTAAAAAGAAAATTCACTATATATTTGATATTAATTAATATCAATATTAAAAAATAGAAGGAAAAAATTATTTATTAAAAATAAATTTTTTTTTATTAAAAATAAAAAAATGTTTATTTAAAAAAAATTAAGGGTAACTGTAAATAACAAGTTTACAATTAAAAATCTTTCTTCAAAAGGGAAGTAAAATATTTCTTTATTTATTGAGGATTTTTTTTTTTTTTTTATGAATTCTCTGATGTGCCAAGAAATAAATATTTTACTCGTCGGAGAGAATGAGGCAGAAAAAAATCTAAGAAATGTCGATGAACTTGATAGTGAGTATTTGGGAGAAAAAAAAAATTAGAAAATAGGATTGTAAATTTCTGTAATATTAGACTCGGATATAATCGTTTCATAGATATTATTTATTTCTATACATATTATTATTAATATTATATTATAAAAGTGCATCTCATTGGCACGACGTTGTCGAAAAACGGGACGATTGGAAAGTATCGTGTAATATATACCTATATATACTATATAAATAGCTATATGTATGTATACACATATATATATATATAAATATATATAAATAATATTATAAGAATGCGGTGTGTATGATATAATTGACGTGAACACATTGAATGAAATTGAATATTATATAAAATTTTTTATACGCAAACGCGAACTGTAAATTAATTGAACGATACCGCGAATCTCATCGCCCCCTTTTTCTATGTCTACCTGTCTTTCGAATAAAAATTGTTTCACATTGTAAGCCAAGAAAAAAAAAAAAAAAACTTGGACATACAATTTGGACAAAAATAATATTGTCTGTGAGCAAAAAATCGTAAAAAAAAGAATTATATTCTCAATATCTCTGCCAAAAGTTATTGCTAATTATTTTAATTAGAAACTAATTATTAAAGAAATTAATTTTATGAAATTAAATTTTACAAAATTCAAAGAAAATTTTAGGAATGAAAAATTTTTTTGAAACGAGAATTCAACAATTAATTAATGTTTTAATTAATTAATTGTTCATTGAATGAAAACTCACTAAATTGTGATAATAATTAATATTAGTAAATTTTCCTTTTATTGAAATTTTTCGAAAAAAAATAACTTTCTCAATTAAAAGAGAAAAATGAAATTTTCCACAAAAAATTATTGTAATAATTTACAATATATTTACAAATATATGTAGCATTGACTGATTGACAGAGATTATCGCAGGTAAACTGCCTTAAAATCATTATTTACTCGATAAAGTTTAATTTTTTTTTTATTTCGATTAATATTAAAATTTGCGCACGTTCAAAGGAAAGAATTTTTACAAATTAAGTTTGTAACTCGACGAAAGTTACACGTTTCATTTTTTGTGACATTTTAATTCTTTTATTTGAATGTTTTTCAAAAAGTCAAATTGTTTACCAAAAAAAAAAAAAAAAAAAAAAACAGTTGTTAATTTTTGCAATTCTAATGAAAATATGTATCAACTTTTGTGAATTGTGTTTAAACAACTTTTTTCCAAACAAATACGTTTGGAATTGATTTATATATAAATATGAATGAGTTTTAAAAAACTTTTGAAACGACAAAAAAAAAAATTTACTCACAGCAAAAAAAGAAATTATTGTATGAAAAATGTAATAAAGTAGTCGATCGTACCAAACTATCTAAATATTGTTAAATATTTACTAATTTTGGTAATTTCCTATTTTATTTTAAACAGAGATGGTGGAATATTGTTTTATGAGGTAAGTAGATTGTTTATATTATTTATGTAAATTATTATTATTTAGTTAATTGTTAATAGAGACGAGGGAATTTTTGAGACGAGGATTGTGTCATTTAATTACGATTTTTTATTGCTATGAATAGATTCATTTAACAGAGTTTTTATCTAAAAGATACAAACACCCGACTTTCGGCGGATTTATATAATATATATATATTATATATTCTACAACAAATCCTGTCAACATTAAAACACATCCAGTTCTTGAATTACAATAACGCAGACAATTTTTCTCTCTTTCAAACAAGTGTTATTTTCTATATTTTTTTTAAATATTATTTTTATTTTATTTTTTCTTTCATTATTTCGCTTCAATTATAATATATACGTACGATCACACTTTGTTTCTGATTTTTTTTTTCATTTTATTCTCTTTCTTTTATATCCCTGAATACGAAAGACCGTATGCGTATCTCACGATTATTAATATGTAACCAGTGAAAATTACGATATCCCGCGTCTTTTTTTTTTATAAAATACATATTTACACCATTAATTCTAAACATCAACCATTTAACAACATGTAAATATTTATAAATCTCTCACTCTCTCTTTTTTTCTCTGTGTAATGCTCGCATAAAGATTATAAATTTATTCGCTCTCAAATTTTGCACTTTTAAATGATTTTTTTTGTAGTGAAAAAAATATCACAGCAGAATTTATTTATTTTTTTTTTTCATAACGCAAATAGTAAATTATTATAACAGAACATTTTTTTATTTCTGTCTATTTTTTTCAAAGAAAGTAATAAAAAAAAATTAAATATTAACATTGTTACATACAACACTTTATAATTTGTGCGAATAAAATTTTTACAATAATAAAATACATAAATCTGTAAAACCTATAATTATACAAAATTTTATCAATAAAAGTGCACAGCACATACGCGTTAAAAATATTCTATTGCTTATAATAACATTTTTTATGTTATAAATTTAACGTTACATATAAAATTCGTCAAGAATATATTATAATAATTGAAATAATTCTGCTGATAAATAATATTAATTTTTTTATCCATAGAAAAATTATTTTTTTTTAATTTCCTTTTGATTCTCTATAGCTTATTTCTTTAATTAAAATTAAAAATTGCAAACAAAGTTTCTCAATTCAAGGAACATTAATTTTCGAGCATGTACATTTATTATTTATTTTTATCACATTCATTCAAATACATTTAGGTGTAAACAGGTACCCTACGAAGAAATGTGAGCGTTAATGAACTATAAATATATTTATAGTTTATTGGTTTCTTTTGCAATTAAATCATTATTGTAATCAGTGTAAATATAAATTAATTTAAAAAACATGTGCTTTTATCACTTTTTTATATTTATTTATTAAAAAATTTTTAAATAATTTTTTAAAAATAAATAATAAAATGAAAATTAAAAAAATACCGGCATAGAAATCTACCTTGCCGACTGACGGTAAAAAAGTTGTTTATAAATACAAATATAAAAAATTACCGATACATGAATCTACATTACCGACTGATGGTAAAACAGATTTTTAAAAATGAAAATATAAAAATTACCGACGTAGAAATCTACATTACCGACTGATGGTAAAACAGTTTTGGAAAGTTTTTTAAAAAATTCCTTACCGTCAGTCGGTAATGTAGATTTCTATGTCGGTAATTTTTATATTTTTATTTTTAAAAAAATTTACCATCAGTCGGTAATGCAGATTTCTATGTCGTTAATTTTTTATATTTCAAAAAACTGTTTTACCATCAGTCGGTAATGCAGATTTCTATGTCATTAATTTTTTTATATTTCAAAAAACTGTTTTACCATCAGTCGGTGATGCAGATTTCTATGTCGGTAATTTTTTATATTTTCATTTTTCAAAATTTTTTGCCATCTTATTAAATTTTTAATCAACTATGTATTTTAAAAAAAATGCAATAATGTTTTGATTTGAATAAAAATTTAAAGTTGCATTGAAAAATAAATATTTTTTTTATCGTTTAGGATTTAAATATTACACTGAATACAAAATGACTTTATGGTTATTTGTTTGAAAAATTCTTACAACAATAGTGGAACTAGAAATTGATTTGAATTCTTAATTTAAAGTTGACAGTGGCGTAGCGTTTTACATGGGAAGGCAATGATTGAAAATTTTACATATATTATATTTTCATCTCTATTAAGGTAGATAAAAATCAACGTCCGTGTTAAAAGTTAATTCTAATGAATTTTTATTTTAAGAATTAATTGTTCAAGTAAAATCAATATAAAAATTAATATAAACTTTCTTTTTTCTGTAAAATAAAATTTTCTTCATTGTTAAAAAATTTAAATTAAATTTAATTAAATTAAAAATAGTAAATACATATTAAGATTATAAATTATGATAGTAAGATTATTAAATTTTATTATATTTCCTATTTTTACTTTTAACTTTTAACAGAGACTGTCGAGCATTTATTATACCTTTATTTTCTCTTTTTCACGATTCATAATATTAAAAATTCGCAACGCCACTTATTATTTTTTTTTTTGTAATAAACATTTTTTTTCCTTAACAGATTGTCACCTAATTTTGTCAAAAATGGTGTTATGAGATGTCAAAAGATTAAAAGATGACATATCTGAACATTTCAATTTTTTTTTTTTTAATATTTCTTTGAAAAATTTAATCATTTTTATTTTTTTGGTATACAGTGGAACCTCGATTATCCGAATCTCTATTATCCGGACCCTCTATTATCCGAACCGAAAAACATTTTATCCGAACTTCTATTATCCGAACTATTTTTTGGTCTCCCGAATTTTAAATTTTACTTCCTCTATTTATTTTATCATTCATATTTTCGCGGGACATTTTGGCAAATTTATGCCAAAAAAATCTTAAAAATTTCCGAATTTTCTGAGTTTTTAATATTCATATTATTAATTAATATATATTTACATATATCTATATACTTATGTATATTTAAAAACATATGTATTAAGTTAAATATATAGTTCAACTGTACATTTTTTTACTTTAATTATAAAAAAAAATTTAAAATCTCTATTATCCGAATTTTCGATTATCCGAACCTGGCCTTGCTTAGATTAGTTCGGATAATCGAGGTTCCACTGTATATATGTATTTCAAAATTTTAGATTTTTCCCCACACTAACATGCAAATAGACGTAAAATTTTTCTTTTATATAATCAGCTATATTTTTTTCATCGAATAAAGATTTCATCTTTATAGAGTATATTTTTTCTAATTCTTTTTTTTTCGTTTATTTACTGTTTACTCATAAAATCATTGACAAATTTATCATTATCATCATCATCATCACTGTAAAAACATTTTTATTGTCGAGACGATCGTGATACGCCGATATTGATTTTTTTTTTTCAAAAATGGAATTCCATTATATTTCTTAAAAATTAGCTTCAAAAACAAAAAGAAAAACAAAAAATATGTGAGCGTATAAAAATATACCTGTAAGTCCGACAATATTTTTTGTACATATTGAGCATAATTTAATTATGAATAAATTGCACACACCATTTCCTATTAATTGCGAAAATTTTCGTTTTTTTTTCCCCTCCAGCAATGATTATATATAACAAAAGTCTACATATATATATATCACGAATTTACGAATCTATTACCGCACAAATATTGAATATAATTCTTCGAAAAACAAATATATTTTTTTAAGCATAGATTTTATGTGAAAAAAATGACATTTTTCTGTTTTTAATAAATCAAAGAAAAAATATGAGCTTTTATTATTCAAGAGCGAGAAATCTGATAAAAGGGATTTTTTACATGTGATGGATTAAGTGTTTAATATAGTGAAAATTTTCAAATGAATATAATAATAATAATTATAATTGTTTAGAAAATTGATACGAACTTGTATAGGATAGACATGTATAAAAGGAAGCACGATCGTTCGACGATTATTATAATCATTCGCCATTTATTATTATTTTATTATTATTATTATTTTATTATTATTATTATATTTATATCGTCTTCCATATGATTGTTAATACACTTAATTTTTATATTGAAACTTTACAAGATAAGAAATCGTCGATGACTATTGACATGACGAGCTTTTTAAAAAACACGAAATTTTTTAGGCCGATAGAAAAGGGTAACTATTTATATATTTATTTATTATAGATACTCTTGAAGCGAGTTTAATTTTTTATATTATTTTAATAACTAGATATTCAATAAACTATGTCGTTTTTCGTTTTAATTAATTATTTCTTTTTTTTTTTTTTTAATAATTTATATTCACTTTATATTACATATCATTTTAATTCTGATATTTTACATGTATGTTATTAAAACAGGTTATTTTCTACTCAACTGACCAGCAGTGACAGTAAATAATTTGAATTATTACTATTATTATTATTATTATTATTATTAATCGAGCTGCATTTTGTGTAAACGCAAAAAAATTTCAATTTGCATTTTTCTAATATATATCTAAATTAAAATTTTATACATTTATATAATTGATTACTATGTGGCACACAATATTTGATTCGAATGATAAACCATTTTTAAAATCTATTTCGATTTTATTTTTTCTAAATAAAATTTTTCAGTTTCTGTATCAGTAATTTTTTGTAAAAAATTTTTATACTTAATTCATTTGTTATTAATTGGAATAAGGGTGTTTTTTGATCTTTTCTCTAAAAAGAAATAATTTGCACATTTTTAAAAAATAGTTCTTTGTTTTTTTTTTTAAATTGATTTTGTTAAAAAAATTTCTTTCTCAGAGGAGGTAGTTTGATGTTATCAACGTAATTCTATATAATTTTTGGGATGATATTTTGATAATTTATATTTAATAAATCCCAATATTATTAAGCGGTGTATGACTTTTTTTATTCTATAACAATAGTCTATTCTAAATAAAAAATAAATAAATAAAATAAGAATGAAAGTAAATAAATTTATTTTTTATTTATTATTTATAGTAATAATAAATAAATAAATAAATTTAATAAGTCAATAATAGAAATGAAAATTTATAATTAATTTAAATAAATAAAAATAAAAAAAAATATAATTACCATTAAAAGAATTAATATAAAGAGTGAAGAGAATTCTTTTTTTCTTTTGTCTACTGCATAGTCAGGGATTCGACAGATAGAGACATGGAAGCATGACGATATACTTGAGGGCCAGGAGTGGATGGAACCTCTTCTATTCTCTCCAAGTCATTCGCAGCTCCAGCACTGTTTTGCTTGTTCAATCGTGGAGCTGCTCTCTGAGTGTGTTGGTCGGGAACTATTGTCGCTGGCTCATCTGCACGATCCAAGCTGAATTGCCTTTTTAATAATCGACACGCGGAATTTTTTCCTAAAAATTAAAGAACTTTTTTTTATTTCCCCATTCTTAAATATGAAATATTAATTTTTCAAGGGGAAAAAAAATACCATGATCATTGGGCGAAAGACATCGATAATGATTGTACGGTGTGCTGAGATCATCTTGTTCAATTGCTCCGACTCTTCTGTGTCGTCGATAATTTGTTCCTGTCGCTGATGTAAGTGACGTTGTTGAAGCACCCAATAGAGCGGCAGCAACTTCAGCCGCTGATACTGGTGTTGCTAAATTTGTCTGATTATCACCTGATGTACTTTTTGTAATTGTTGCACTACTATAGTCTGGTGTTTTGGCAATTTCTTTTGGTGTATCAATCACTTCACTTGATTTTAATGAATAGCTATATGTCAATGTTCTTTCATTATGGACGGAGACAGCAACTTTTTTTGTATTCACTATACTGTCTGTTGTTGTTGTTGTACATGTGTTATTATTATCATTAATCGTCGACAATTTCACTGACGATAATGAATCTTCATCATTGACTTTTGTTAAATTTTCAATTGAATTATGTTCCTCAAAACTTACATCCTCAGCTATTGGCGATGGATGCTGTGGACTTCCTAAATCAGCGTCTTGATTCACCAAACTTCCCAATATCAAACTCTCCTCAAGTCTGTTTAAATTATTTATCAACATGTAAACATTAAATATTTATTTAATATTTTCTCATATTTTTAATAATGTATAAGAGAAATAATATTCTAATTATAATTATGACGTAAGAATGTAATTATAGTTTATTTATTAAAAGACGATATATTTTAACGTTCATTGTTGTTAGTTTTAAAACAAAATTCCTTTTTCTGACTAAAATAAACTTCCACTATTGAAAGTTGAAGTCAGCAATAAGTGGAAAAAAAAGTTTCAGGCAAAGTTAATAAGTCACTTATATACATGAAAATAAAATAAAATCATTCATTAAAAGTTTTCTTGAAAAGAAAATTGAATTACCTAATAAAACGATATAAGTATTATATAATATTATAATATAATTTTAATAAAAACAAATCTTACCGATGATCTTCTCTGATTTGGCAGCAATGCAACAGATTAAAAATATAATTAATCTGAAAATGAATATTGAAATATAAACAAATGATAAATGTAAATTGTATAAAAGTAATTATAAAATAATTTAATTAAAAATAAATAAAAATTAAATTAATAATTAAAATTGATAAAAAATAAAAATTAATTAATTAATTCTTTTCGTAAAAATTTACCCCTTTTTTCTCTTTTTTAATTTTTTTTTAGAAATTATAACCATTTTTTTTTAAATTTTCTTGAGGTAATGAAAATGATATCTAATGAAATTCAGTTAAATGAAAATTCTAACGATTGATTTTTTTTTTAGAACTTATTGATGCGTCTCGGTCAAAACTGTTCTAAGAGAGAGAGAGAGAATTTATTGAAGCGTTACAACTATGAGGGGAAAATGTCAACACATACCCAAGAGGCGGCGGTGTCGGAAGCTCTTTGTCGAAGCCTTGCTTTCCTAAAAGCCAGTATGTTGCCATCTTCCCTTTTCCCTTCACGTCTGTTCTTCCACGATATTCAATGTAGTAGCCGCCAACTTGCGTTAATCGATCTCTCGTTGCTTGGCTCATATGAATTCGCCATGGCGCACCAGTGGACTCCATTCTTGATGTTGTGTTTACCGTATCACCAAACAGGCAATATCTCGGCATTGTCAGACCAACGACCCCAGCACAGCAGGGTCCTGAAAAACAAAAGAAAAAAAAATCAATTTCCATAATATTAATTTTTTTTCTTTCCATTAACACTTTTTAAAATTTTTATTTTTTTTGAGTTTCTCAACAGAATCCTTTGTAGAAATTTTCCTATAGTTGGCCTCCATTTTTAAAAATGTTATTAACATATTTATTTTTTTTGCTAATAGTTTTTTTTTATTTTTTATCTCGTAAAATTTTGCATCTTAATAATATTACTGTTTTAGAGGAAATGTTGCCAGTCCATTATATTGTTGAAACTAAATAATATAAGTTTACAGTTCAGTCTCTAATGACTATAAATTAATTCACTATTCTGTTTTAGAGTACTTACCAGTATGAAGGCCAATTCTCAAGCGTAATTGAGTTTTCGGCAGATGCTTTAGTTTGAATTTTCCACTTTGATGAAGAAGATCCAATGCCATTGTTGCAACTTGAGACGCATGATCAGGTATCCTTACAGGACAACCACCGACAACCATATAAGCATCTCCTATTGTTTCCACCTAGAGAAATACATTTTATTCTTATAATTTTCTTTTTTTTTTTTGAAATAAAATAAAAAAAAAAATTAATTTTCGAAAATAAAGTAAAATTTTTCAAATTTCTTTTATAGAATTTTCTGAGCGTAAAAAAAATAAAAATTCGAAATTAATTTTTTCTGTCTATTTTACTACCTTTGTAAAAAATATGGCTTTTTAAAAAATTTACTCTTTTTTTTTACTTAAAAATTGTTATCGAATCGAGAAATCTTTTTTTTTTTTTTTATCCATCAAAGAATATTTTATTTGCATTAATATTCTTTTGAAACACGTCAGCTGTGAATTTTATTTTTAATTTTTCATTCTGAATTTTCTTTTAGAAGGCAATTTACTAGCGCGCACAACATTTTACATTTAACCTTTTGCATCGAAACGCGCGTTATTAAATAGTTAATGGGATGTAAAAAAAGAAATTTTCTAGCTAGCTGCTTTTATATATGTATATGGTATCCTCATATATATTACCTAAAAATTTTAACTGACATAAAAGTCAATATCTATTGACATATTCATGTTTTTTTTTGTTTAACTTTGTGAAATATATTATTTTAGAAAAAATTAGAAAAAAATAAATAATGAAGTATAATAATAAATAAATTTGAATTAGTGGAAATTTGATTTTAGTAATTTTAGTAAATTATTATTTTATTATTATAATTAGCATTATTACTATTTCAAAATTTAAAGAGAAAATTTCCACCAATTTTTAAGAATTTTTTACTAAAAGTTTAGTAAAAAAACAGTTTTTTTTTGAATAAAAAATAAAAATCACCTTGTAAACAGTGTAGGCGTTTATCGTCGCATCAAAACAAGTGTACAAGTCGTTTAGTAGGTCAACAACTTGGAAAGGTGTAGAATAAGCGGAGATCGTCGTAAAACCGACGATGTCAGAAAAATAAATAGTGACCTCTCGAAATTCCTCCGGATCCACTGGCATTCCCAACTTTAATTTTTCCGCCACTGAACTGTTGATGGAAGAAATCGTTAAAAATATAATTCAAACTAAAAAAAAAATTCTTTCATCAAAGATTTTTTTTTAAATATAAATTTTTAATTTTCTATTTATATTATATTATTTTTGATATAATTGATTATCGAAAATTTTTGAATTTTAATATAAATTTTAATTTTCATTAAAATATCATTTTTTTTATCGATTTTACTAATAATTAAATTTTCAAAATAAATTTTTATGATTAACGATAAAAAAAAAAAAATTTTTATCGAAAGATACTTTAACGTAACGATAATCTTTTTTCTCTGGATTTTGAAAGTTGCTTGAATGGGGATTGGCTTATCACAAACGATGCAATTTTTTTTCTATCTACTTTTTAGTTGTGCCAAAGATTATGTCTTTGTGATAACACATGAGCGCATGATATAGTGAAATAGATGAACTTTTCTATAGACTACTTTTCATTTTTTCCGAGAAAAAAGAAGAAAAAAAACCATCCAACTTTTCCGCTTGGATTTTCAGTAAAGAAATATATATGAATAAAAATTCGTCAAATTTTTTTTTCTTTTTTAATAATGCACTGAAAAAAAATGTTCTCATTAAAAGAGGATCTTCTTTTCCTCTTATTTATCAGCACTATATTATTCCTGTCTAATTGAGAGGATTTTCCTCTTTTAATATATATATATTTTTTTTTCAAACGTCATTTTATAAACAGGTGAATGGTTATACTTACGCTGGTAGCATACGATTTAACAATTGTTCAGTCTTCTTTTTTTCCATATCTAGCTGTTCAGTCCTCTCGCGAATTAATTCCTCAAGATTGTTGGAGTACTTTTCCAACATTTCAAACATCGTGTCCACAAAGTTTACTTTCCTAGGAGAATATTTTAGGAACTCTTGTCAATTTAGTTAAGATAAAAGTTTGCCAACTTCTTTCAACTTTTAGTTTCTTAATTAAATATTTTTCTTTGCCGCAAAAAGAGTTTTTCTTTTTTTCTTATATATATTGTCAAAAAAAAGAGAAAAACTCTTCCCAAATTTAGTGTGTAATAAATATAAATGAATAGCGAAAGTTCTTGTAACATAATAAAATCAGCTAAAAATTTGAAATTCGATAATAAACAATTTTTTTTACTATTAACTAGTTAAATTTTTTTTTATTATTATTAATTAAAGAATAATTAAAAAAACTAAATTAGAATAAAATTTTTTTTTTATTATTAATTAGATAATTCGATAGTAAAAATTATTTTTTACTATTAATTAGTTAAATTTTACTAATTCGATAGTAAAAAATTTTTTATTATTAAAACCTTTTTTTCAAAATTGTCTCATTTTGTATATTGAATTTTTTTCTTATTTAATTTCATTGTCGAGCTGGAATTTTTTTTCAGAAATAAAATAATGAAAATATAGAAAAAATATGAAATATAGAAAAACTGACCTTCCGTGATTAAGTTTTTTAAAAAGATCATAAACAGCATTGAAGTCTGGTCGCATGTCCGCAGCTTCTGCCCAACATTGACGCATAATGTTGATGGCTTCCGGTGGTGCTGCGCCTTTACTAACCGAGGGTCTGATTAATGGAGGTGGTTTTTTGACCTTTTCAATTATGTCTGAAGAAATAAAGAAAGAAAAATACACACACTTTGGAAAAATAAGCTTTCCTACAAAAATAGAATAATAAACATCCTTTTGCCTTTTTTTCTTCATTAAAAATTTATTTTCATTTATCTAAATGTATATGGATGATTCTCGAGAAACTGGTCATTTTCGAGGGAGAATTTTTTTTCTTTACTACTTTTTTTATATTGTAAATTAAAAAAACTTTTTTAAAAATATATTTTAAGGAACAATTTTTCTTTTTATTTACGAAAAAGTATTTTTTATTTTTTTTGTAAAATTTTTTTTATACCATAGAAAAATTGTAAGATAGAAATAAAAAGAAAGTGACGCAATTTAAAAAAAAAAAAACAAGAAAAGTATTGTCAATTTCATTATATGGAACAAAAATGAAATGCTTATATTTTGAAGTGCGATGAAAGTTTCTAGATACGATAATTCTATTAACATTGTTTTTAGAGGAACTGTCTCAATTCTATATCTATATATATATAATGAAAGTGAAAATGACATTGCCAAGGAGGAAAATTCATTTGGAAACTTGGCATTAGATACGGTTTAAAGTTTCGCGCTTGTACTTTAATGTATACACATATATACAAAAAAGGGCAATAATTCTGTATGACACCACAACACACAAAACTCATTACCAACTTTATATAATGCATCTCGTCATTAATTAACTCTCTCGGGGACAAATTACCATAATGATGCGATAATAAAATTAGACTTTTGTCCTTATATCATAAAATTATTAACGATAACCGAAAAAAAAGTAATTTAAATATTTTTTTACACAATTTTTTCATTTAACAAAATTGTGCAATAAATAAAATTAATTTTGCAATTGATAGCATTAACAAAAATTTTTTTAAAATATTTTTTTTTACAAATACCTATAGAAATTAGGTTTTTATAGTTTATTTTTTTTTTTTAGCAAGAGAGTATTATTTATTTTTTTTTGGGGAATTTAGAATTTAAAGGATGAGAAATTGTTTTCGCTTATATGAGAAATTTTAAGTTGACGTTTATGAAGTTTGCGAAAAGCTTTTACGCTTTTAGTTTATTTGGTTCTATGATGTATATATTTTGACTCGGGCGAGGAGTGTATTAACATGACTTACCTTCCGGTGACAGAGCCAACATGCAAAAAGGTTCTCCACGGACCACGACTTCTTGCATGATAATACCAAAACTGTACACATCGCCCGTTTGTGTTCCTCTCTTTCGAAGGCCTGCGTGCCTCAGCAATTCCGGAGCTGTCCACAGCAAGTCTGAAATAAATTAACACTTTTTATTGAAATCATAAAAAAATTTGTTACGTTTTTTTTATTTTATTTTTTATTATCATTATTATTATTTTTAAAAAATTTTAATTTTTATCAAGTAGAGAAATATAAATTACAAATTTTCCTTTTTTTCATAAAGATTTGAAAAAAAAAATAAATTTGAATGAAAATTTCCAGTGGAATACACCGAATAAGATTTTGTCTGACTAAAACTGACTTCTACTACTAAAACTAGCATTGTCTGATTAAATTTAATTTGTTCTACTATAATTCTGCGTCTGACTAAAATTCAGAACAATCCCTTAAATTATTATTAATACAATACAATAATTAAATAAAACAAAAAAAAAAACGTATTCTATTATGTTTCAATTTTTAAACCCTAAAATATTAAAAATTATAAATATTGAATAAATAAATTGATAAAATAAAAATATTTAATATTTATATTGAATATTATAAATTGTATAAACAATATGTATATGAAAAATAATAATTTTTGTAGCTCATAAATTTTCGTGAAATGTGTCATGATTTTATATATATACTTTTATATATTTATGTTGACTTTATTGATATATGCATTGTACATACAAACAAAAAAAAAGATATAGTAACAAATTTTAGGAAAACATTTGCAAGTTTGGAGCTTTTATATATATATATATATATAGTCAATTCAATTTATTAATTCAATACGAATTGTATGATTTTCACTTTTCACGGCATCAAAATCCACACACAATTCAATTTTCCATATAGATATTTTATATATACACAAACAGTTTATTTGCCTTCAACAGATTTTCGAATATATATAGAGAAAAAAAAACATTTCATTTCAAATGCGGTTATTTTTTAATATTTTAATTGACCACTCAAATGTAAATCAAACATTTTTAATGAATAAAATAAAACAAATATTTATTTTTTTTTTCATTTTTAAATTCCACTGACAAATAATTTAATAATTTAAAAATATTTTTAATGTAAATTTATTTTTTATATCTGCATATATTTTTGTATTATAAATAAATATTTATATTTTTATATTTTCGTTATTAATTTTATTATTAATTAATTAATAGTGTTATTGTTATTATTGTTATTAATATTATTATTATTTATCCATACATTAATTATTTTTTTATTATTTGATTTTACATTTTTTTTTACAGGTTTTATACTTTTAAAATAAGTGAAAAAATTAAAATCTGATGAAAAGCAATGAATAAGTAAACATGACACGTGGTACTTAAAAATTTAATAATTGAAATTCAGGTTTTACCAACTCCTATTAAAAGTTAATCAATTAAAACCATAGTGTAACCGCTCATAATTAGTCGGTTAAGAGGTTTAATAATTTATTAGCTTTTAACCAACATTGATAAAACGGTCTTTTACAATGTATTAATGAAATTCGTTATTTTTAAAAAGCTTAATTATTTTAAACCTACAGAAATATTTGCAAGAGATATTTTCTAAAATTAAAATCATTTGACCAACTTATTTCTTTCAACGAAAAAAAAAAATCCGATATTCTTTAATTTTAACTCCTATTTAAAAATATAAAAATACCATATTTTATTTCTACATAATTATAAAGAATACATAATATTCTTTATTTAAAAATAATAATAATAATAATAAAAAATATTCGATCTAAGTAAATATTTTTTAAAAATAATTTGAAACAAATAATTTTTTTCCAGTGTAATTGTAAATATAATAATAACTTGTATTATTTGTTTAATATTAATATTTTTTTTATAGTTTTAATTTTTTATTTTATTATTATAATTTTTTTTTTGTTTATTTAAATGAAAAAATAAATAAATAAAAAGATTATATTTTTGAATACAAGACGAGGAAAGATTATATTCTTAAATTTAGAGTATTTTTTTTTTTCTTCCTTTTTTTGTGTGTGTGTTTTTTTGTCAGATGCCGTTTTCTCTAATCTTCGAAATAGATAAATAAGATTAGGAATTTACCCCTAGCTGTTTTTGTCGGTAGAATGGCATTCTGGGCCTCGTAAAAGGCCGGAAGTCCATAATCTGTGACCTTGAGAACCCAACGAGCATCAATGACACAATTTCTTGATGTGAGATATCCATGAGCACGTATTGGGGTGCTGTGAAGGTACTTCATACCCTTAAAAAGGCCAAAATCTTCATACTTCCTAACTTCACTATAAAAATTGTCGCTTAACGACTTTTATGATATGTTAAACAGCTCAGAGATAGCAAAAAGCAGAAAATATATATTACCCACACGTCTGTATACTAAAAATCTCAAAGTTATATTGAAATTCAAAAATAAAAAAAAGACATTTTTCTCTATAAATTTCTTTTTTTTTAATATGAATTCATAAAATGTCAAATATTCTTTTTTTTTTTAAATAAAACATGAACGAGCAAAAGAAAATTGTGATGAGAAATTTTTTTTTAAAGAACGAACAAGGATTAAAAAAAAGGAAAGAAAAAAAAAGTTTAAAGAAAAGAGAAAATAAGCTTATTAAAAGAAGATACTAGCCCAACCTTACACTGCAAATGAAGACTCTGATAATAATGAAAGAATAAGATAAAAAAAAATTTAATGAAACATGTGAAATGTTTTTATAAAATTTTTGTAATGAAACAAAAAAAAAAAAAAAATTGTAAGAAAAAGTATTTATGTCGAACACTGTTTATAATGAAAACTTTCCTAATAAATATTTTTCAACATAAAAGAAAATTAAAAAAAAAAAGAAAAATATTTACAAAAACTTAATTAAGTGAATAAAATACAAATAGAAACAAAATTGAAAAAATTTTAATATAAAAAATATTCTTTTTTATTTTTAAAGCCAACAAAGAAATATTTTTTTACGAATAGCAAAAAAAAGGAAAAATAATTGCAAAACCTAAATTAGAGACAATATTAAAAAAATTAATTTAAAAGCAACAGTTGAAATATTACGAATTATTTTTTTAAAAAAATTGATTAAAAGAAAAAAAAAATGTTATTTTACTCACTCGAACGAGATCCGTGAGGAGGGAGAGTCTAAAGGACCAGTCGAGTTTGATTTCATCTTGGACCAAAACATCCTCCAGCGAGCCTCTCGAGCAAAATTCGGACACCAAACACGGTCTCGTTGGTTCATTCAGACATCCGATCAGTGGATTCAGGTTCTCGTGACGAAGTCCATGGATCTAATGACAATCAGAGTCACTCTCGACGACGTCGCGAAGGATTAAAGGGGTCTAAAAGATCATCAGGAAAAACGATCATGGAAGATATTTTATCCTTACCGTGACCAGCACATCAATGGCTTTGCTCTTCAGTTCAAACGTCCCCTGGAATTGGAGTTCCTTCAGCTGCACCAAATCACCCTTTTGAAACAAAAGAAAAAACAATTTAATATAAAAAACAAAATATAATTTCTTCTATTTAAAAATTTTTTTAAATAAAATTTTTCAAATAAAAATAAAAAGAAATTATTATAAATATTTTAAAAAATTTTTTTCCTCTTACAAAAAATTAAAAAGAATTTTAAAAAAATTTATAGCAAAAAAGAATAAAATCAGTATAATGTATTTAGAATAAATTTGAAAAAATTTTTAAAACGATCATTTATAAAATTAAAGTACAATAAAAGTAGACTAAATTATTGTACGCTTTTAGAAGATTGCTAGTTATTAAAGCTTTTATAATTTTAAAGCTTCAACTTTAAATGAAACTTAATTTCAATTTAATTTTAAAACTTCCCCAAGGATGAAACTTTTAACAAAGAACTTAATAAAGCGCAATAATGTTACACTTTGACATTCGCAAATTAAATACCAACATTCTTTTTTTTCCACTCACTCTCTCTTTCTCTCTTTCTCTCAACGAGAAACACGATTCCAATTATTTCTATAGTCAATTTATAAACTTCTTTTTTTTTCTATAACTAAATTCTCGTTATATAACAAAATTTATCGACTAATTATAAATGTTCAAACAAACTTTTAGCAATTTTTTTTTTCCTTTAATTAAATATTTGATTATTCCTTTCAAAAAAATGAATATTAATCCTATTAAAAAAAATCTGAAATTATTATTTAATAAAATTAATTTTATTAATCATAAATTCTAATAATAATTAATAAAAGTAATTTTATTAATAATAATGAATAAAAATAATAATTTTAAATATTTAAAAAAAGTTTTTGATTTATTTTTATTATTTTTTTTTCATCAAAAATCATTTTTTGAAATAAAATTCTATTTCGGTGAAATGGTTTTTTTTGGATAAATTAATATTGGATTTTAAAGAGGAGTTTGAAATATTTTAGCAATTTGGAGATAAGAATTTTATTGTAAAAAGGGGGGGTGGAAATGAAAGTGAATTTAGTAGTTTTGTGTTTGAACCTATTAGTCTAGAGTTTCGTGCAATTTAATGGGTTTTATCTAATTTAATCTCTGATTAAAGTAAAACAGGGGAGAGAACATAGAGAAGCATTAGCTTCACAGTGTCTCTCTCTCTTTGTCTCTCTTTCTCTCCCTTTTCAACTATTCGTCGACGACGCCGAGATTCTCAATCGAGATTGCAAGGATAATTGACCAGACGTCGGCTGAAGCTCGAAATCTTATTATCTTCTTTTCCACACTATATATACAATATCTCGTGTATAACTGGGTCAGCGACTTGTATATATATATATATATAATTTTTTTTTATATTATATATATATACAAAGTCTCTGTGTTTTTATAGGATTTCTATCATCAGACTCTCGGGGAACTTTTATAAACCTCGTTAACCATAAAAAATCCTATTCTTATTAAACTTTTTATTCATTCTTATCACAGAAACGTTATTGTGTATATAATACAATTTTTATTCAATTTTCATTTTCTCTTTCTGTTAATAAATTTTTTTAACTTTTTAAATTGTTTTGAAACTTTTTTTTTAATTTATATAATTTATAGATTTATTTTTTTTCTACATTCAGTGTACTTTTTAATTTTTTTTTTCCCCGCAAACTTAAAAAAAAATCTAGTGAAAAAAAAATTGATAATTCAAAAAATACAAAATTAAAAACAAAATTATTTATTTAATTTATTTATTAATAGTAATAAAAATTCTAAAATAGTAAAAATTAAGATTTTTATAATTCTTTAGAATCTTCTGTATTTAAAAAATTTTTTTATATTTTTTTTAAATAGAAATTCTAAAATGGTGAAAAATTAGAAAAAATTGCAATCATTAAAATTTAAAAAGATCAAAAAAAAATTATTTCAAAATATATTTTAAGTGATATCGTTTCATTGAAACGAAAATTCACAAACTTTTAATTAGATTTTATAATTAAAAAAGCTTATTTCTCTTTGAAAAAGAAAAACTCTGATGAAATTCTAATTTCCATGATTAACACACATACAAATACAGCTGAGTTCATTTCAAGAGAGAGAGAAGAAAAAACTATTGTGCTAAGCAGATTCTTTTACATTGCAGAGAAAATAAGCATTGAGAATAAGATCAGATATTTTTTCACCGCGCGAATTTACACGTCGTCAGCATTTTTTTTTTTTTCGAAATGAAAAGACCGCACATAGAATCAAAGTTCTCGTATTTTATTTCCTCGAACGGTTTAGTAAAAAAAAAAAAGAAAAAGAAACAGACAATCGTGTTCTTTTAAAAATAAGTTTCCGTAACTGCGCTTTGCCTTAACTTCGTTAGTCAACATTATGCGACCTCGTTTATATTACTTTTTATTTTCACACACTTTTCTTTTGAGAATTTTTTTTTCTTCTTCTTCTTCATCGAATATTATCAAGGTCAACAAAAAAGCTTTTACACAAAATTAGTTTCATTAACATTATTTCCAACTGAGACTCTATATATGAAAACTATTTCATTTTCAAATGAAATCACTCGACTTTTATCAGTTTTTATTAAAGTTAGAGACACTTATAAAGAATGCCCTTGAGCTCAAAATTACCAGAAAGACATTTAAACTTTGTTTCTCACCAATCTACAAATCCCGTTAAATTAGTTATATTTTTCTAAGAATTATTTGCGAAATTTCGTATGTTTATCTATGGACCTAAAAAAAATCCCTTATAAAAAACTATAATTTTTTACATTTACTGAAAAATAATATAATTTATTTTTTTAATTATTTTATATTATAATTACTCTTTGCCAAATTTTATAATTAAATAAATAATTAAATTAATCAGATGAATAATTAATTTAACTAATTATAATATGTAAATTTTTTTTTTTGTAATTTAAATTAGTATCTTCTTTTTAATCTTTTTTTTGTCATTCTAGTAACTAATTACCTTTGTAAATTATGAGAAAATATATATATTAAATACTCGTGAATTAATTCAGTGGAAAAGTCAAATAAAATAAGTGAATTAAGCAACATTTATGTGTCTGGAATAAATTTTAAGACCACTGTTTTATTAAAAGAGAATTTGCATAATTTTTCTGGTCAATATACTCGTTTTGTTGAAATTGCGAAAAATACTCGGGAATAAAAGAAAAAAACTAATGATTTCAATCATATACATACTCGAAATATAAAGCGCGGACAAAAGTGTCACGAAAAAGAGAAATTAAATAAAAGGAAATTTCTCATCCGTGTTTTTAATCTAGATTTATACGTCTTTCAAAGAAAATTAATTGAACTACTGTTTTTTGTTTGTAGATTTCTCTAGACACTCATTAAACACTCTTTTTCTTTCAACTCCACATTCTCTCTCTCTCTCTCTCTCTCTCTCTCTCTCTCTCTCTCTCTCTCTCTCTCTCTCTTCCTCTCTGTGTGTTTAAATACATATAATTGGAATAGAATTTATTCGTCAAAATTTATGAAAAATATTTTCTTCTATTTAAAAAATTTTAAATAATGAAAAAATAATGGAGGTGTTTTTTTTCAACGACAAAAACAAATCTAAATCTGATTTAAAAAACTACTTTTATCATGAAATTGTAAAAATTAGATTCTTTTCTTTTTTTTTGCTAAAAATATTAGTAATAAATAATAATTATTTATTTATAATAATAATAATAATAATAATAATAAAAAATATAATAAAAAAATATATTTTTGTTTTTTTGAAGAAACCAGAAAAATGCAGCAATAAGAAACTGAGAGTAAAGTGGAATTAGTAATTGTGAGAAATTCATTGAAGACATTGTTCCCCTTTTATTGTTTCCATTTCACAAGAATGTTTTTATATTCCACATTTCTTTTGGAAAGAAAAACAGTTAATTTGGATAAAAAAAGAAAAAATAATCGAATATTTATTTTAAGTACACTTAGACCCAGCATCAATAATCAAATTAGTCGTTTCTTATTTGAAAAAAGAGAAGAGAGAAGAAAAACTTATTTTCGTAAGTGATTCGGTCTGTTATCGGTCTCTCATATCAATTTTTTATTCAGAGACTATCTTAATTATTTGAAATGGATCTATTTTGAATTAAAATTTATTTTTAAAAATGAAAATTACCTAAAAGAATATTTATCGTTTTTTTTTTTTTTACAAATCGAGTAGTGGTAAAAAAAAATTTATAAATGTATCTATAGGATTATAAAGAATAGCCGACGATTTTTGTCACGCGTCCAACTCTCACGGATTTTCAGTTTGATTCTGCGATACCATTTTATCCGCGTGCACGTTTCCAAGCGAGAAATTGAATTCAACGAGTTGAAGAGAAGAAAGGATATGAAGAGAATGAAAGAGTATATGGAATGAAAGAGGTATTGTTGTAAGTGCCTGGAATCAGTGGAAGGTACATTGCCTTTTCGATTTTACCTTATATATTCTTCCTGCAATGTATATAGCGTTTACTTCAAAATGATTCAATTCATTCATTTTATTCAGAAAAAAAATCTTTTTGCCAATTTTCTCATAATGCAAGCCCCCTATGAGATTTTTTCAATATTTCCGCATTAATTTTATTCAATTTTTTTTTCCTTTCAATATTGTATATAAAATACAATTTTTTCTATTCTTTTTCTAATTTTTCATTTTTTTTTTTATTTGTTTGTACTGAAAAACCAAATTTCTAAATTTGGAAAAAAGCAGGAAAAATTAAACTAAGCTTATAATCACTTTTTCTTCAATTAAGCATCATTATCGATTTATTTCTCATTTTCCTTCCTTAAATCTCTAGAAAAAAATTTTTTTTTTTCCCCCAACTTTGCAGATAGATTTATTTCATAAACGCTTTTTATTTAAGCTTTAAAGTAGATGTCGTTCTCTTTAAATACGATTTTTATTCCTTTCAACATTCACTTAAAAAGTGATGTTGATTAAACGAACTGGAAACAAGCAAGCGGCAATAATCACCAGTACTTCGCTTGATTCGTGTTGAAATTATTTTCAATTGACTGCTCATAAAAAGAACCGAGCTTCTTTCGCAAAAAAAAAAAAAAAAAAAATTGTACCAACTTTTTCCTATTTTCCTTTATTTAAAATTTTAATCATCGTTTCTACAATTTTCACTTTCAAATTTACAAACTTTTGCAAAATATCTCAAATATAATATAATAGACAAAAAATTAAAACAATTCAATTTTTTTAATTAATAAAAATTGTAATTAAATTTAAAAAAATTTATTTCTTTAAAAAAATATTAATATCAATAAATTTTAGTTAAATATTTTTTTAAATATAATTTTTTGATTTTTTAAAATTGCTAACAAAAAGAAAGTATTGTAAAAATTTGAAAATAAAAATTTGTAACAAATGAGAGAAATTTTTTTTTTGACGATAGTGATGGATTATAATTGTAAAAATTTGGTAAATATTTACTCACATTATATCTAACACGAGGGTCGTTGAGAATTGCATGCCTCGCAAGACTTCCATTACTAGCTTGTAGATGTGGCCTCAACGATCCAACGCTTCCTTGTAGAAGATCTGGTTTTTCCACCTCTGGTCCTCCAAATTCTTGCAGCTGTTGCAACCAACAACACAACATCGCTTCTATTCCCTCATCAACCTAAAAAAAAATAATTATTTTTTAATTTTTTTCAAAAATTACCTCTATTTTTTTTAATTTTTCAATTTAATTCAAAACAATTATTTTCAAATAAATAATTCTAATAATAAATTAATAGTTAAAAAAAAATAATACAATTTTTAAACAATAAATTTACTTTTAGAGTATTTTTTCTGAAAATTTTTTTTTTTTAGAAAAAGTTTTCTATTCTTGATAAAATAAAATTTTCCATTGTTTATGATAAAAGAAAAAAATTAGCATTATAAAGATAAATGGAAAATATATATTTTAAGATATAATTCTATTACCCTTCTGGGATCGGGAACTTGCGGGAAAACAAAGTCGGAAGTTGTTAAGATTATCTTGTATGGACCCTTGGACATTCTCTTCTTCATTAAGTGTCTCCTATAAAATATTAGAAATATTACAAATTTATTATTATATCTGTATTCAGTACAGAAAATAAATTCTAATAGACTGAACAATTTTAATCACGGAAAATTAAATAAAAAATTTTCTAATATTTTTAATCAAATAAAAAAATCAATTAATTTTCAAAAAGAAATGAAAAACAATTTTTAATCGCGAAAAAGTTAAAGTAAGTAGTAAAAGAATTTTGTTATATTTTCAATAAAATTTTATCCAATTTAATTGATTGAAAACAATTGTATAACAATTTTCACTTTAACCGAATTAAATCAGTCAAATTTCACACACACACACATGCAGATAATGAAATTCCATTAATTGCCAGACAAATCAGTTATTATCTACCTATTATAAAATAAAGAAAATTCATTCATTGAAAATAAATCAATTGCTTTATTTTATAATGAAATTCCATCGATTGATTTTTGTTAAAAATAAATTGAATATAAAAAAAAATAAAAAAAGAAAATAATAAATAAAATAGAATATTAAAAGAAAAACAAAAATATGGTAAGAAATGCAACAGCATTTCAATAATCAAAAAAATATAAAGAGTCAAGATTTGACTTTGTACGACAAATAATGATTGTTATGCATATTAATAACGAAAATTTTGGCGAACAGTAGTCCATTTGGCAAGAGGTTGAAGTGTATTTCAATATTCCATAAATCAAAATGTAAATGAAAATTTGCATTGCAAAACAGTTGCTTGTACAGAGAACATAGGGAATCAAGACTCAGTTTTCTCTAATGTAAATGATTGACTGTAAAATAATTTAGTGTGAGTTATAATATATATTATATACATTACCGTATCAACGCTGCTGTAACAATGGCGATGAGGCCAAATAGAAGAGAACTCATTATGATAGCTACGATATGTGCAGTTCGTAATGGTATACCTGGTAGGTCGCCATCTAAATTATAAACACAATATTATTATATATATGAGAATAATAATGTTCACATCAAAAGCCACACATGTACCGACAATTTATTACATTTACATATTATATCAAATTCAAATATATAATATATACGATATTAAAGTTGAGAATTTCAAATTTTAACTGCTTTTATGTTTTAATTTAAATAATTATTATTAAACATTCAATTATTTTATCATATTTATTTATTTAGAGATTTAATTTAGCACAAATAAAATTTTATTTAGCGCAGGAAAATTTTTTTATTTAAATCAAATAAAATTGAAACAAATATTTATTTGGCTAATTAATATTAATTTTTTTGATTACTCACAGGAGCATTCGCCTTGATTTTCACAAAGTACAATGATCTCATCGTCGGCAAATGTGTTTTGAACAATTTCCTTAATCACGAGTTGTTCCCTTTGTTCAAAGACAATTAAAATTGGTTCCCAATCATTAGCATTTAAATTCAACAATGCATATGTAAACATTTTATTGTTCCATTGATTTAAACTCGTGTTATCACGAATTAAAATATCCAATGATTCCTCCAAATGTCCAAATATATTTGGCACTGTGAAACTTGACCTACCACTAAATATTCTTTGCACATCGTATCTGGAAATTTAAAGAAAAAAAGATTTTATCACACAAAAAAAAGAAAAGAAAAACTAAAATTGACTTTTACTACTAACATCAAAATTACAAAAATATTTAGAGTACTGACGAAAATAAAAAAAAAAAAAAAACAATTTTTTGTATTCGAATTAAAAGCTTTGGAAAATATTTGTATTTTTAAAAATGAAATTCAATCCGTTTGAAATTTGGAAATGTTCCAATAATAAATAAAACGATTTTAGCCAAACCCAATCGCTCGGTAAAGTGAAAACTTTTCTCTTTCTATATTTTGAGAGGTGGAATTGAAGTAAAATTATAGTTTTCCGAATTTAAAGTATTATAAATGCGTCATATATTGATAAGTTGAAAAGAACTCTAGATAAAAGTATAAATTTATTATTTATGATTTCGGATTTTTCAGTTATCACTAAACTGAAATAATTTTCCTAATACTTTACAACAATTTTTTTTTCTCCCTATGAGACAATTTTCATAAATTATGAAAAAATTTATAAGTTGATAAGAAAAAAAAATTTATGTTTTTAAAAATAAGAAAAAGAAAAAGAAAAAAGTTAAAACATTTTGGGAAAGTTTTTAAAAGTTAAAGTCATTCTGTTACAATTTATGTAATGTTAATATCAGTAGTAAAAGTCAGTTACGTTAAGAAAAATATAAAAATATTTTCGTTTCAGTAGAAAACAAAATTACTATTTCCGAAATAAATTTTACTATTTTAGGAGAAATTTTTTCTAATATTTCAACAGCAAAAGTTTTTTTACACTCAAAAAAATGTTTCTTAGGGTCAAAAAAATGTTTTCTTTAATTTAAAGATTTATTTGATTTGAAGAAAATTTTTTTTTTTATTCTAAATAAAACTTTGAAAGTATTTTTTTAAATATTAAACAATTTTTTTTAAATCAAATAAATTTTCTTTAAATTAGAGAAAATTTTTCATATCAAAGAAATAATTTTTTGATTAAAAGAAACATTTTTCAGGTTTTTATACTTTGTAAATAGTAAAAGTTACTTTATATTTTTTTCCGTAGAATAAAAAAATATATATATATAAATCAGAGATAAAATATGGATGAAATAAATACGTTTGATCGAAAGGTACGACGGCTAGTATATTTGTCAGCATGGCTTTGCTCAGGTTTGTCGGTGGTTTAAATCGGCTTGACGACTTCGATCGTTGTGGTGCGTTCGAGTGAGCATTGGATACGTTTGGGATAGAAAAATTGGAAGACTGAGTGGTGCTCGTGAACGGTACCAAAATTGGAAGCATAGTGGTGGTTGCCAGCGAAATATTTTCAGGGATAAAGAACTCTGAATTTACTGGTTGGATTAACAGGATTACAGGATGTGACACGCGAGTCTCCTGAAGAACAATGTCCATCTCTAACAATATGCGACTTGTATAGTTATCCTCCAGGGGCAAACAAAAAATTACAGCTGAAACAGAAACGTATATTTTATTTGGCTTCATTATCGTCGACAATTTCTGTGTAAATTTTTTTTTTTATTTAATCTCTCATATTTACCAGAGATTTTTAGTTATATATTATGTACATTTTCCTCTCAGAAAAAATATTATTATTATGAAAAATAAAAAATTTGTTCAAAATTTAAAAAAATGGTAAATATGTTACATTTTACAATTTTTCTTTTTAAAAAAGGAATTGATAAATGGCTTCGAGAGAGAAATTAATCATTTATTTTGTTGCTAAAAAAAAGTGACTTAAAAATACCCATTCTTGAAAATGGAAATTCACATAATTGTGGTTGCATTACATGCAAGTGCTTTTTGAGTAAATGAAATAATCAAATCACTTTGATATATTTATGACCCTTTTAACCAGATTGATGCGACATTTTTTTTTTCTTCAAAATTTTACTTTTTTTTATTACACAAAACTAATAATAATAAATAATTTCCATTTAATAATAAATTTTTTTTTGTAATATAATTTTTATGAAACAATCAAATTTTTAAATCAACCAAAAGTTTATTTGGTTCAATATTCTTTAATTGAAATTTTTATTTAAAAAAATAATAAGAAAAAAAAATGGTATATTTAGTTCAAACAAAACTCTTCTCTGAGTGCAGAGAAAAAAAATTTATTTCAGAGATAAATATTTATTTGGTTCAAATAAATTTTATTCAGTTTCAAGTAAAAGATTTACTTGTGCCAAATGAAAAATTTTCTTTTAATAAATAGTTATTTACCTCTGAGATAAATATATTTTTATTAAAATCAAATATATTTTCGTGTTGGTATCAAGGATATATATATATATATAAATTTTTTTTGTGTGTTGTTTTTAAGTTCGGCAAAGGAGTTTGCCACTTGAAACTCAAATGGTAATAAATCACTTTGTTTTCGTTCAACGAAATATTGATCACAGCATCAGGGCATAAATTTTCAATTTTATAAGTGTAAAATCAAATTGACGTAAATCTACTATTTTACAGCATTTTACATTTATATTTTATATATAAAAAATAATTATATATATATATATAAACTATATGGGGTATTCCATATGAAATTTTTATTCAAAATTTTTATGAAAAAAAATTAAAAAATTGAAATTAGGTTTATTATTTTAATGACAAATTTAATTTTAAATAATATTAAAAATAAATTGAATAATTAAAATAATACCTCTAATAATTTTCGGTGATTTAAATTTTTTTTGCATTAAATTTGTCATTTTAATATTTGAATTATAATGCGGTTACTGCTTTGATAGAACGATAACTTACTTAAATGAGAATAAAGCTATTTGTGGTTAATATAATACAGTTTGGAGTGATCTCTATATATATATACACTCAGTTCATTCCTTTGTCCAGAACTAATTAAATGGCAAATGCTTACCTCTACATGGAATAGTGATCAAAGGTCTTAAGGAATCCTGAATTTGCTTCGGACTATCGGAATACTGTAGGACAATACGATGTCTAGGCACGATACCAATATTTCCCAAAGCACCAACAACAGCTCGATCCAAATTTGACCATAAAATATCATCTGAAAATTAAAAAAAAAATTTGTTTATTTAATTAATACTCCATTAAAAATTAATAATTCAGATTAAATTTTTTTATTTAATAATAAATAAAAAAATTTGTGAGAGTGAAAATTAGTTATATATACATATATAAAAAAGTGTTATAATAAAAGAGAGAAAAAGGAAAATAAAGATGTAATTGTGATAATGGGACACCACTTTGAACCCTCTGTGTGGTTGCAACAAAATGCAGCACGTGGTTCGTCTGAAGGGTAAAATAAAAGGGGGAGTGGTAAAGAGTCTTTAGATAAATGGCCTCTCCGATGGACGGGCAACCCTTATATACTCTCGCAGCAATTAAGAAGTGATACATCTTCTTACCAAGTACCCAGACGACACACTTTTCCTATATATATATAGATATTCGAGCTAATTTCACTCCAAGACTATAAAATATAACCTCTTCTCTTTTTAAATATATTAGTCACATTTTACTGACACTTTTTTTTATATCTCACCCTACTATTTAACTGATGTCAGCAATTTAAATCAAAAACATTGCCCTAAGGTAATTTATAAATTTAAATTTATCCTTCAAATTCTTGACAAAATATCGTTAATGTAAAATATTTGCAATTCAAAAGAAATGAGATATATTGATATTTAATACATTTGTTTTTTACTTTAAATTATTGTCCAGAGTTTCATTATTGATTACATGCATTTAATTATTATTTGCATAAAGTATTTTCTCATTACATTTTTATTTCATTATTTATTATTGTATTATTAATTAGAATTTAATTATTCATTATTACAGCATTGTTTTACTGTTATTATTTTCATTTCTATCTATTTATTATCATTATCATTATCATTATTAATATTATTATTATTAGTATTATTTTTAGTATTATTATTATTTTTTTTATCCCACTTATTTCACAATTGGTTATAAAATTATTTATAGAATTTTCACAATTTAAAATATAAAAACATAATTTTCCTTTATTATGATCTATATACCTCCAATAAATATTGGACCAAAAATGTTTGTCAGATTTTGGCAAAAGATATCAAGATGTTTTTTCATTCTGTTCAATGGCATCTGAAAAGATTCAAAAGCTTTAGAAAGGATTTCCAGTGAATCCAGACAATTTTCAGGGACTTTAAAAGATTGCAAGGACTTTCATATATATATATATATCAGATATATAAAGAAGAATAAATTTGTGGGTTTCTTTCAATTTTCAATAAACTAAACACTTTAATTTATTCAATTTTTTACGGTGGATCAGAAACTATTCAACAATCAACCTTTTTTCTAAATTAAAAAAAAAATATAAAATAAAGAATTATTTTTTACACCCAGAGAAATGATTTATTTGAACTAAATAAAATATATTTGAGTTAAATAAACGTATATTTGTCTCAGAGCCTACTAACTTATTTATTATTTGGCGTAAATAAAAATTTCATTTGTCAGAAATAAATTTTTCTTTGGCTCAAATAAATTTTTTATTTCAATGAAATAAAATATATTTGCAACAAATAAATGAGTTAGTCGGCTCGGAGACAAATATACCACTCCTCTGAGTGTATAATATTATCAATATTAAATTATTACCCGAATATAATAATAATAATAATAATAATAATAATAATAATAATAATAATAATAATAATAATAATAATAATAATAATAAATTATTACAATGTTAATATTATAATAATGATGAAATATTATAAATATTTATATTATTTATAATTAAAATTAATAATTAAAACTATATCAAGCAAATGAAGATCGATATTTATGATTAATAAAAATGTACATAAAAATTATATAATATTTACAATTATAAATATTTATATTCAATGGTAAAATATGAAATTAATAATTTTCCTTGTTTTTAGAATAATTATCAAAAATATAAATGTAAATGTGAATCAATAACGAAAATTTCATTTAATTTTATAATGAAAATGGTCTGAGGACAATTATAGAATAGAGGATTAATGTGTGCGGTTTTCGAGATTAGAACTAATATATATATATATATATATATATATATATATATGGAATATCGATGAAATCTATTAAATAGAGTTGATCTATATCTAATATGGCAATAACTATGATAGAGATAAAATATAATATAGTCTTTTACGCTTGTCTAAACACTTATGTGCAAACATAGTATATAGAATTTAATTAATGTACACAGGTACATAATTGTGAGCACTTAAGGCCACATCATTCTCGTGTGGAATGAATTCTACATAAACTCGATTAAAATAACTATATATATGTTGAGTTTATGTACAGATTAATTTTATATCTATATATATTAATTTAAACATTAAAACTTTATTTTAAAAACCGTTTAAACCCTTTTATTTTATTGAAAAATTTTCAAGACTGATTCATTTTAGAGAAAAATTTTAAGCAACGGCGTCGATTATTATTTATTTTTTTTTTTAGGAGATGAAAAACAAAATGTAATTAATTTAAATAAATGGTTTTTTTTTACCTGAGCTTATAATCGCCACAGATTTCCACCGGAAATGACGAAAAATTTCAGCTATCGTATTTGCCATTGTCAATAGGGAAGGTGAGAGTCTGATGATTGATGAAAATTCCGCATCTTCTTGGGCTTTCTAAAACAAAAATTTTTAATACAAATTAATTATCATTTGAATTAATAATTACTAGATTATATTTTACGAAATTTTAAATATACAATTTTAAAATATACTAATTTAATAGGGTAAGAATTTTTATCAATAATAATTTAAAATAAAAATGATAATAATAATTATTAATAATAATAATAAAATAATAATAATAATTAATAACAATATTAATAATAATTAATTAATAATATCATAATATTGTATTTTGTTTATTTTTTGAAGTATTATTATAACTATTTTTTATTTAGAGTGTATTCTGTAAAATGTGACGAGATACACATTTATCTTAATGTCACTAAAGAAACTAAATAACCGATTTTTATATAAAAATCCCTTTTTTTTAACGCGCGTTATAAGTTTTTTTTTTCTTTATTCTTATTACAAAATTTGAAACTGTCAATATATTACAATATGGATATTATATGAAACAGAAGATAAAATGAAAAATACCAAAAAATATTGAATGCACGTCACAGTGGGGAAAATGATCCTTTGTTGAAAGATGTGGTTAGACTTTGACCCCAAAGATTTTTTTTTATATATACATATATATATACCACATCAACATGGCAACAAAATTTCCGCTGTAATGGATATTCATTCTTTGCTCCCTTTCCAAAGAGACATATTTACTCGGGAAAACACGCTTCTTTGAACATTGCGACATAATTATAGAGACCCATGTATTAACACCACATTAAATAATCGATGTACAAACCAATATATAATTCCAGTTTACGATGGTAAAATAAAAAAAAAAAAAAAAAAAAAGTAACCGAAAAAAATTTCAATTCAAATGAACAAATTAATTGAAAAAATTTTATTTTTTTTTTTTAATTTAGAAAAGTTTGAATATTTGAAATAGAGAGAATATAAAAATACATCTTTCGTTATATTTTTCAGAAAGTTCTTTTTAAACTTTTTGTTTTCTCTCCGTTGATTTTCTTCTATTTATTAGATATGTCAAAGTTGGAAATTCTTCAAATTTTTCTTTTTTTGAACTTGAAAGTATTTTTCTCCGATTTCAGCTGATTCTCAAAAATTCGTACGGTATTTTTTCTTTCATAAAAAAAAATGCAACTATCGTAATTTAATTTTTCGAGGCTCATTTATTTCCGGAAAATAGTTTTCCGAGAGTAATAAAAGTTGCTGAATTCATCAACTTGTTCATTTTGCACGCGCAGTTCAATTTCACTCACACATACATACAATATACCTATAATAGAAAAAACTTTTAGCTTCGGGAGAAAATTTCTTTAGTCATATATATATATATATATGACATGAAATTTGAAATAGCCTTGTCAATTAAATAAATCTACCGAAAAAAAAGAGAGGATCAACCTCGCTATAAGGAAAAGTTGTCATAAAATGTAAAATATTGGAAAATGATTACGCGCGAAGAGAGATATCTTTTTTTTTTTTTTTTTTGAATAAGTGACTTTATGACATACATCTAATAATTTTTATAATATTCAGCAATATTATATTTCTTTTTAAATTATTTAATAGAATTCTTAATTACCAAATTTTTATTTTCCATAACTTTTTTCAAAATTTTTATTTGACAAAATTTCTCTTTAACCAAATTTTTATTTAAAATTGAAATTTAACCGAATTTAAATTTATCAAAATTCTTATTCATTAGAATTTAAACTGATTCTAATTATTTAAATTTCAAAATTTCAGCGCGAATTTTAAAATTATTCAGAAATCATTGAGAAAATTGTGATTGGTTAATTTTAAAATTCGCACTGAAATTTTTTTTTGCAGGTTATGTTTCTTCGGTCATTTGCGATTTCGAACAAATAAAAATTAGGCGTTTTAAGAATTTTCTATCAAAAATTATTTTCATTGTAAGATTAAAAATTTTTTTTTTATAACAAATATTAATAAATAAATTTCTTCATAAAAAAATTTATAAATTAAATTAGAGTTGCTAATTCTTTTAAATGGTACTTTGAAAAATTGTGTCTAGTAACAAGTAAATTAAGTTTTCTTTTTTTTTTTTTGGTGCGTATTTTTCATTTTTTTTTTTTTCAATTGTGTGACCGTATAGAAAAGTTTTTGCATTATAACATCATGGACGAATGAATACGTTACTCGGGCGGAGAAAAATCTAGAAAAATCCATTTAAATGGAAATAAAGTGTAACGCAGTTGCCGCAACCAATATATATATATATATATACTTTTCTATGCCAGCCAAGTTCTTTTTTCGACTTTAAAAGAACTTGATAAATCATAAAGCAAGAGGAATCATTTTTTGTCACGACTATTTTAAAATTATTATTTTTTTTTTTTTGGAAATAAAATTTTTTTATTTATATTCAAAGCATATCAAAGTATGTTAATTAAATTCCTTAACATTTCAAATATGAAAATTCGTATATAAAGAAATTAAAATTTAACACAAAAATTTGTAACATTGCACGTAAATTCCTGTGAATTTGTATATAATTCACTTGACATTAATAAAATAATATATAATAAAAATGCAAACTCTCCAATCATTTTATCACGTCATATCACAGAAAATTAAAAGGCATTAAAATAAGCTGCAACGCTTATTATTTTAATCCAATTTTGCTTATTTTAATACCAAAATGGATTAAAATAAGCAAAATTGGATTAAAATAATAAGCGTTGCAGCTTATTTTAATGCCTTTTAATTTTCTGTGATTTCACGTTTCCTTTTTTTTTATTATTATTATTATTTTTTCTCTCTTTATGATAATTAAAATTTTTATGGTATTATATTTTATTTTGTCGTTTTTGTTAAAAAATATTTTTATTAAAAAGTTCAAAGACAAAAGAGAAACAATATATAGCTGAAAAATAAAAAAAAAATTTGAAAGCATAAAGAAACTTATTGAGAAAAAAAGTGTATATGTACGCCAATTTTATAATATTGCAAAAGCAGAATGTGTTTGTTATATACATAAAAAAAAAATTATACCACACATAATAAGAAATTAAATAACAAGGGAAAAATATTTTTTTATATTAGAAAAGCACATTTGAATTTTATGCAATAATTATAAAATAAGAGTAAAAATAATAATAAAAATAATAATAAAAATAATAATAATAATAATTACTGACAGAATGGATCTAAATGAAAATGTCAACTATGAAAAATTGTACCTAAAATGAAATGACGATCTGAATGATAAATTATATTTAAATATACATAAGAAGACATAAAATATGCCCTCTTTACAGAAAGTCAACCGTATGATGAAATGTAAAAATACTGTTTTTTTTTCTTAATAAAACATTTTATATAGGAATAACATGTATATATATAGGTGAAAAATTCACGCTCGTCTTTCATATAGAGAAACATGAAGCATAAAATACTTGTAAGCAGTTGGGTAGGCGGATTAGGAAAAGGCGAAAATGGAAGCTTTTCATCTTTTAGTGATAGTGTTGGTGGCTTTTAGTATTTTTAAATATATATATATATATATATATAGGTGAAAATCTAAAACGTATATAAGAAAAGAGTACATGCGGTTACGACACATACATATTTCTCTTTCGAGATTAACTTGCCAACTTTTACCTGACACAAACAGCCAAAACTAGGTCACTTGAGAAAGAGAGTGAGAGAGAGAGAGAGAGAAAAAAGAAATATATGTCTAATCGTTGCTTCTTCTTGTTCTGAGAACAAGTGAGATAAACGACTGACACTCATAACTATTTGTTTCTCATCAAATCAACGCCTGAACAAAATCTTTACATATGGAAGCTGTGGGGGTTGATTGTAACATACAGAATTTGAAAAAATTTAATTTTAATTAAAATCTATTTTGAATTTTGAAGTCAGATTCATAATCAGCGATCCCAAAAACCCTCGAGTTACAAGTTTCAAGCGAATTTGATCAATTTAAAAAAATGACCTCCATATTGGTTCCGCCATTTTGAATTTTGAAAATCTGAGGTCGGATTCTTAATCAGCGATCCATGAACAAAATGAGTTTATATAAAAACACTTTGATAAAAAAAATTGTAAAAATTTATAGTTAACTAAAAATTTAATGACCTAAAATTAATAATAATAAATAATAATTAACGTAAATAAAAAAAAAATTTAATAAATTCAAAAAGGAAATGTATTTTTTTCTATATGTTGAATGGAATAGATCTGGATATATGGAAATGACAATTCAAATATATATATATGGGCTTCATCAGATCTATAACATATGTACATCAAAACAACCGATAAAGTGAATTCTATAGGGCGAAAATTCAATTGAATTACATGCTTCGTGAAACTATATGATACTTTACCTGAAATCTAAATAAAGCCAGAAATGGACCATTAAGTACTCGCAATGGAAAAATATCTAGTTTTATATAACATATTTTCCATTTTTATAAATATACGTACATTGAGAGAGAGAGTATAAAATATTATTTTTCCTCAAAATATATAATATATTTTTTTTTTACATCTATCACAAAAAAGAAATTACCTTAAAGTGGTGTCAGAAAAAAAAACGTGACTGGCGCAAAAAAGAAAAATAAAATTAATAAAGGAAACAAAATGTAAAGTTGTGATAGAATGAACATATAATCAGAAATATATATATATATATATATATAAAGTTTTTTTTGGCCCTTCGAAGAAAAACATATAACTTTTCTTTGAAATAAATATATCCCCTATATAAGAATGTTCGTGTCTCTTCATAACGCCCTATTTACACGAATCCTAAGATTTATTACTATAACATTTTGGTGTACAGTCAAATCTGCCTATGAAATCGAGACGCCTTTTTTCCCCACAAAAAAAAAGAAGTGAGTTATATTATTCAATGTAATACCATAGAAGGAAGGAAGTGTTTTTCCTAGGCTTTTAACAATTCTCATTTATCATTGTATATACTATTTCTCTTTTTTTTCCTGACACCAACAACTTTATGCATTTTCTCACCCTCGATGAAAAATATAATTATCTAAATTACATTAGCAAAGAAATGCAATTATTCTTAATATTTATAGACTCAGCGATAAAAGTTTTAAAAGTTAATTAATCAAATTATTATTAATTTATTTATTATTTAGTATTTTATTAATATAATAAAAAAAAAATAAAATAATTGGTGTCATTATGAAAAAATATATAAATATAAAAAAATAGTGAGGAACACTATAATAGAAGAAATTTTTTTTTAAATAATTAAAAATTTATATAAATAAACAATTTATTTTGTTATAATAAATTCGCTTTTTAAAGAATCCAGAGACTCTAGATATATTATGATTCACATAAAAGATCGAGAGGAGCACAAAAAAGAACAGTTGATTTTATGTTCACGGTTTTTATTTTTTTTATGTCACTAAGATAGTTTTCCTGTTCAAGGGTGCACATGGCAAATCTCGTTTTATTTACTGTTATAGGGGTTTATAACCTACTTTTATCACTTTGAAATCTGACCATCTTAATAAATGGTCTTTTCTACAATTATACTGTAAATATATAAATTAACGTAAATCTCAGATTAAAATATAATTCCACTTAATCTTTTAATAATTATTTTTTTATTTTCTATAATTTATTTTCTTAATTTTCACATTTTTCTTTTGACTTTAATTCTACTTGTTCCTATATATATTTTTTAAATTAATTGTATAAATTTTACTAATATTTACTATTATATTAAAATTTAAATATTAAATATAGTGAAATCGACGATAGTAAAAAATTTTGAAAAATAACAAATTTAAATTAAATGACCTAGAAATCTACCTTACCGACTGATGATAAAACAGGTATTTGAAAGATGAAAATACAAAAATTACCGGCATAGAAACCTACCTTACCGACTGTTGGTAAAATAGTTTTGAAAAGCCGGTAGAATTTAAAGAATTACCATCAGTCGGTAAGGTAGATTTCTATGCCGGAAATTTTTGTATTTTCATTTTTCAAAAACCTGTTTTACCATCAGTCGGTAAGGTAGATTCCTGTGTCGGTAATTTTTATATTTCAAAAAAACTGTTTTACCATAAGTCAGTTAGGTAAATTTCTAGGTCGGTAATTTTATATATTTTTATTTTTCGAAATTTTTTTCCATCCTGTTAATTTTTTAACCATTATATTTTTGAATATTTCAAAGATGGGAAATAAATTTTTATTTGAAAACTTTTTTTTGTTATCAATTTTCTCTATATGTCGCAAATGCGTCGGATAAAAGCCTATTATTTTAATTGGATGACAATTTGATGTTGGAAAAATATGAAACAAAATTTAAAGTATAATAAAATAGAATGAAAAAAAAAAATATTAAAAAAAAGAGATTCGTAAAAGTACAATTACATAACTTTTGTATATTCACGACTCATTAATGACAATTGAAATATTCATGACCGGAAAATAGTTGCAGATAAAATATATCAAATTCTTGACTTTATAGTATCGTATGTTAGAGTCAAAATCGATGAAGCGGCAATAGCTTCACAAACCATCTAATCAAAAGACATTCCCGATTTCTCTCTCTCTCTCTCTCTCCCTCGATATTTGTATGTTCAACGAAAACAGTAATAGTTGCCAATAAAGGGAATGGGCATTGGTCAGATTTAGTATTTTACTGCGTGCATGTCGATTTTCTATTCATGAGATTGAAAATATAACTTGTAACTGAATATTTATTTCCCTCTTTTTTACCAACGGGAAAACAAGATTTTTCTTGTCATCTCTATCACGAATTTTTATTTTATCCAATGAATTTTTTAACATTTCACATTTTTCGATATGAAAAATTAATTTATAAACAAAAATATTTCAATTTTAGCAAAATGTTTTATTTATAAAATTATAAATAAATTTTTTTCAATTTTAATTTTTTACAGAATGAGAAATAAAATGAAAATATTTTCTTTTTTAAAAAACAATTTTGTTCTTTAAATAATTGATGTATCTAAAATTGAAATTCATTTTATATGTAAATCGAGTTAAATTATTTAAACGACAAAGTTTAAAAAAAATGCTTGCATGTTATTTATCATTCTCTAAAATATAAAAATTAAAAAAATTATTTATTTATACTATGGTAGAAGTTAAAAAAATTCTCACTGGCAAAATAATTTAAAATTTGCAAAAAAATTAAAAAAAAAAATTTTTATCAGAAAATAAAAAAGTATAAATTGCATTTATAATTTTTTTCTCGATTTTTTTATTTTTATTATTATTATTAATATATGTATATAGTAATTTTAACACTTACCTGAGGGCAATTCCATGTGAGCAACGGTTTGTTCCAGAGATGAGCAAGTTTCATAGCAACATCGCAGGTGTTTGGATTGAGGTCTGCGATCAAAGCTTTCGTCGTATTTTGCTCAAGGGCTTGAACCAATGCACCAAGACCCCAAGAACGTGTTTCGCAGGTTTCTAGAAGAAAACAATAACAAAAACAAAATAAATAATTTTTCTTTCTAAACAGAAAGACAAATTTAGAAATAAATTTTTATATCTATTGGTATTTTTTAATTTACTTATAAAATTAATTAATTTAACATTACAAAAAATACAACAAAAATGTTGTAATTTACTAAAAAAAACATTTACTAAATTTATCATTGAAACAAAGAAAAAATTTTTTTAATAAAAAAATTTCTTTGATTTAAAATTAAATTTTTCGAATACAAAACTTGATTTTTTTTAAATGACTAAAATATATTCAATATAAATTTCAACAACAAGAAAAAATTAAAAATTACGATGGCGACTATAAGATTGAGAAAAGTTTGTTCTGCTTTCAAAGTAAACGCAAAAAGAGAGCGTATATAGACCATCAGCTCTTCTACTTTAAAAGATGTTTTCAAATCAGATTTAACGATGAGAATTTGCTACTGATTTTCCGTACCATGATTTTGGATGTGAATTCTTGATCTCTTGATACTATATTTATAAAATCGCTTAAGGTGAAAAGTAAATTGTTTTTGTTTAAAAAAAAACTATTAACAATTTTTTTAGAAATATTTAAGTTGAAAAATTTTCAAAGTTTTAATAAGTATGCGCTTTAAACAGCATGCGAGTAAAAGAATATGAAGTCACTCTGGACAATTTTTGAGGTTATGTTGGTAGAAATCCTATAAAAGGCATGCGCATTATAGAACATGAAGCCACTTTGGACGAACTTACACAATAATTCTAAGGTTATGTTGAATGGAAAAAAATGAATACTTCTTTCAAAATATGTTAAAATTAATATTATATATATTATTTTTTCCATTAAAAATAAAAAAAGATTTTTAATTTAAGGTTATGTGCTGATATATATTGAACCTCCCCTTAAAAAAAATTCACTAAAAACCGTTGGATATACAGAAAGAAAAAAAACAAAATTCTAGTATGACATATATTCTCAGTGATAAAAAAAAGAAAAAGGATGCTGGCATATGATAATAATGCAAAATACGATCGATGCAGCCTCTGAATGGAAGTTCGTTTATGTGCCATTCGCATCCATTGCGCGAGGGTTCACGTTACAGAATCCCCGTTATATGCGATATATATATGAGTATATACCGTACATACCATACACGTTTCAAACTATAAATGACTTATTTATGCATTCATCTCTGTGCCACAAGCATACTCTGTTAAATCTGTCCCAGGATGTGTAGAATAGAGGTGACACATCACCGATATTAATTATTCCACCAACTGGTTACCACATTTCAGGTTTAAATCTATTATATATACATCTACTTATATCATAAGTTATTCAGAATCAATTTATAGGAAATAGGGCTATGGTCAGGGCCTCTTCAGTTTTCCTTGTTCGAAAACATTCGAAAAATAAATAAACAACCATAAAAATCGTTCCCGAAATAAGCGTTTTTTAAGGGTTTGACCAGAAGTCAAGAGCGGAATTTTGGGGTTGCCTTATAGGTGGTAACAGGGGTCTTCCTCTACTTGTATTTGTCTGTCGATTTTTTTCTACACTTTTAGGTGTATTTTGTGCAAGAAATTGCAATAAAATAGTCCGCCTAAGAAAAATTGAATTTTTTTGGGAACTTTTTTATTTTTTTGGATTTATGGGTTGGATGACTTTTTGGTGGTAACAGGGGTCTTCCTCTACTCGGATTTGGCTGTCGATTTTTTTCTACACTTTTAGGTGTATTTTGTGCAAGAAATTGCAATAAAATAGTCAGCCTAAGAAAAATTGAATTTTTTTGGGACCTTTTTCATTTTTTTGGATTTATGGGTTGGATGACTTTTTGGTGGTAATAAGTGTCTTCCTCTACTCGGATTTGGCTGTCGATTTTTTTCTACACTTTTAGGTGTATTTTGTGCAAGAAATTGCAATAAAATAGTCCGCCTAAGAAAAATTGAATTTTTTTGGGAACTTTTTTATTTTTTTGGATTTATGGGTTGGATGACTTTTTGGTGGTAATAGGTGTGTTCCTCTACTTGTATTTGTCTGTCAATTTTTTTCTACACTTTTAGGTGTATTTTGTGCAAGAAATTGCAATAAAATAGTCCGCCTAAGAAAAATTGAATTTTTTTGGGAACTTTTTTATTTTTTTGGATTTATGGGTTGGATGACTTTTTGGTGGTAATAGGTGTGTTCCTCTACTCGGATTTGGCTGTCGATTTTTTTCTACACTTTTAGGTGTATTTTGTGCAAGAAATTGCAATAAAATAGTCCGCCTAAGAAAAATTGAATTTTTTTGGGAACTTTTTTATTTTTTTGGATTTATGGGTTGGATGACTTTTTGGTGATAACAGGGGTCTTCCTCTACTCGGATTTGGCTGTCGATTTTTTTCTACACTTTTAGGTGTATTTTGTGCAAGAAATTGCAATAAAATAGTCAGCCTAAGAAAAATTGAATTTTTTTGGGACCTTTTTCATTTTTTTGGATTTATGGGTTGGATGACTTTTTGGTGGTAATAAGTGTCTTCCTCTACTCGGATTTGGCTGTCGATTTTTTTCTACACTTTTAGGTGTATTTTGTGCAAGAAATTGCAATAAAATAGTCCGCCTAAGAAAAATTGAATTTTTTTGGGAACTTTTTTATTTTTTTGGATTTATGGGTTGGATGACTTTTTGGTGGTAACAGGGGTCTTCCTCTACTCGGATTTGGCTGTCGATTTTTTTCTACACTTTTAGGTGTATTTTGTGCAAGAAATTGCAATAAAATAGTCCGCCTAAGAAAAATTGAATTTTTTTGGGAACTTTTTTATTTTTTTGGATTTATGGGTTGGATGACTTTTTGGTGGTAATAGGTGTGTTCCTCTACTCGGATTTGGCTGTCGATTTTTTTCTACACTTTTAGGTGTATTTTGTGCAAGAAATTGCAATAAAATAGTCCGCCTAAGAAAAATTGAATTTTTTTGGGAACTTTTTTATTTTTTTGGATTTATGGGTTGGATGACTTTTTGGTGATAACAGGGATCTTCCTCTACTCGGATTTGGCTGTCAATTTTTTTCTACACTTTTAGGTGTATTTTGTGCAAGAAATTGCAATAAAATAGTCAGCCTAAGAAAAATTGAATTTTTTTGGGACCTTTTTCATTTTTTTGGATTTATGGGTTGGATGACTTTTTGGTGGTAATAAGTGTCTTCCTCTACTCGGATTTGGCTGTCGATTTTTTTCTACACTTTTAGGTGTATTTTGTGCAAGAAATTGCAATAAAATAGTCCGCCTAAGAAAAATTGAATTTTTTTGGGAACTTTTTTATTTTTTTGGATTTATGGGTTGGATGACTTTTTGGTGGTAACAGGGGTCTTCCTCTACTCGGATTTGGCTGTCGATTTTTTTCTACACTTTTAGGTGTATTTTGTGCAAGAAATTGCAATAAAATAGTCCGCCTAAGAAAAATTGAATTTTTTTGGGAACTTTTTTATTTTTTTGGATTTATGGGTTGGATGACTTTTTGGTGGTAACAGGGGTCTTCCTCTACTCGGATTTGGCTGTCGATTTTTTTCTACACTTTTAGGTGTATTTTGTGCAAGAAATTGCAATAAAATAGTCCGCCTAAGAAAAATTGAATTTTTTTGGGAACTTTTTCATTTTTTTGGATTTATGGGTTGGATGACTTTTTGGTGGTAATAGGTGTGTTCCTCTACTTGTATTTGTCTGTCAATTTTTTTCTACACTTTTAGGTGTATTTTGTGCAAGAAATTGCAATAAAATAGTCCGCCTAAGAAAAATTGAATTTTTTTGGGAACTTTTTCATTTTTTTGGATTTATGGGTTGGATGACTTTTTGGTGGTAATAGGTGTGTTCCTCTACTCGGATTTGGCTGTCGATTTTTTTCTACACTTTTAGGTGTATTTTGTGCAAGAAATTGCAATAAAATAGTCCGCCTAAGAAAAATTGAATTTTTTTGGGAACTTTTTCATTTTTTTGGATTTATGGGTTGGATGACTTTTTGGTGGTAACAGGGGTCTTCCTCTACTCGGATTTGGCTGTCGATTTTTTTCTACACTTTTAGCTGTATTTTGTGCAAGAAATTGCAATAAAATAGTCCGCCTAAGAAAAATTGAATTTTTTTGGGAACTTTTTTATTTTTTTGGATTTATGGGTTGGATGACTTTTTGGTGGTAACAGGGGTCTTCCTCTACTCGGATTTGGCTGTCGATTTTTTTCTACACTTTTAGGTGTATTTTGTGGAAGAAATTGCAATAAAATAGTCCGCCTAAGAAAAATTGAATTTTTTTGGGAACTTTTTCATTTTTTTGGATTTATGGGTTGGATGACTTTTTGGTGGTAATAGGTGTGTTCCTCTACTTGTATTTGTCTGTCAATTTTTTTCTACACTTTTAGGTGTATTTTGTGCAAGAAATTGCAATAAAATAGTCCGCCTAAGAAAAATTGAATTTTTTTGGGAACTTTTTTATTTTTTTGGATTTATGGGTTGGATGACTTTTTGGTGGTAATAGGTGTGTTCCTCTACTCGGATTTGGCTGTCGATTTTTTTCTACACTTTTAGGTGTATTTTGTGCAAGAAATTGCAATAAAATAGTCCGCCTAAGAAAAATTGAATTTTTTTGGGAACTTTTTTATTTTTTTGGATTTATGGGTTGGATGACTTTTTGGTGGTAACAGGGGTCTTCCTCTACTCGGATTTGGCTGTCGATTTTTTTCTACACTTTTAGGTGTATTTTGTGCAAGAAATTGCAATAAAATAGTCCGCCTAAGAAAAATTGAATTTTTTTGGGAACTTTTTTATTTTTTTGGATTTATGGGTTGGATGACTTTTTGGTGGTAACAGGGGTCTTCCTCTACTCGGATTTGGCTGTCGATTTTTTTCTACACTTTTAGGTGTATTTTGTGCAAGAAATTGCAATAAAATAGTCCGCCTAAGAAAAATTGAATTTTTTTGGGAACTTTTTTATTTTTTTGGATTTATGGGTTGGATGACTTTTTGGTGGTAAT